AGTGTCGTAATATAAGTGTGAGGAATACAAGAATTTTGTCTCAAGGGAGAGGACACACACACAAGCAGACGGATGTTTGCCATGCCTGTATACCTCTTATAGTGTTTGTGAGGATGGATAAAAAGAAAATATTTTTTACGCGTGACAAGGACAACTGGAGGAAAGTGTGTGTGTGCGCGTGCGCGCAGCTTGATGTCTACACCAGTGTTCCTCTACTTCTCACACACTGGTGGGCTCTTAGCTGTAGTTCTCACTTTTGATGTTATCGGCAGTAGAGAGTTGTACGGTTTGAAACGGCGAGGCCCGAGTGATTCTTTTGTTAATTTCGTATCAGGGTTGAACTTCGGACGGGTGAATACAGTGGGTAGGACTGAGGATGGGTGAACACGGTTGGGTTGGGCTGCGGACGGATGAATACAATGGGGTGGGGCTGTAGGCGGGTGAACACGGTGGGTGAGGCTGAGTTTGCAAATGCTACCCAGAGAAATGAGAGAAAGTTCATGGAAGGTCATGACGTAGTTGATAACAATGGATAAAACATTTTTCAGCGCCACATTGCATGGCAGTGAAGCCTCAAGATATGATAACATGTTGAAATGCCTTCGGGGGAGCAGCCCCCACCACAGGGCTCCGACGCTGGTGTTCAAGGCGATGTGGTCGGCGGTGACAGAGAGACTCAGTTAATGTCGCAACACTAGTATATGTATGGATTGCAACACCTGCTAGCTTTCTACGATGTTGGCTGATTATGTTGGACTTATTATAATATATACCTCGGTAATGGTAAATATATTTCCAATTGATAAAAACAAATATGTAAAAAAAATGTTTGATTCCAGGGTTTTTATCAGTCTCTGGAAATACATGATAAGGTGGAAACTTGTGGTGGTGGTTAGGCATTAATATACAGTCATTTATCATTGTAATAACAGGAGTGAAAGACGAGACTTGTATATATAAGGTAATGAAGGAGGTGTCGTGTGGTTACAGCGTGACATCATGGTGTTGGTCGGCCTCCTCACACCACCAATGTACACCATATATATTAGTCTCTTGAGTTTGTTTCCACCACCACACTGGAGAGAGGAGGAGAAGCCTGGATGGTTTAATTATGTGTTTGTCTGTGTGTCCAGGGTTGTGGTTTGTGTGTGATGTGAGAGTAATCCATGGTTGTGTTTTTGTTATGGGGCTTTGTGGTTGTAGGTGTGTTATGGTTGTAGGGACACAAGTGGCAAGCTGTTTTTTTAAGCTTGTTGTTCCCGCCATTCAGGGAGAAGTACGAATACTGTACTCAGGAATCCATGCGGGCTGTCTGTTTCTTCGTTTGTCCGTCCATCCTTTCCTTCGTCCATCATGTGGGCTACCCGTTTCTTCGTTCATCCATTCCTTCATCCATCCGTCAATCAATGTGGCCCATCCGTTCCTGCGCTTTTTAACTGTTGATGGATTGGCGTAATAATTAATCTTGTTACGCGCTTAAAGACCGTAATTGTTGAAGGTTAGGTTAGGGTGGTAAGTCTTCAGATGAAATAACCTATGGTAGAGAGTCTTCAGGTGATGCATAAAAAAATATAATGAGATTTTTAGTCACTTTTATGGGGGAGGAGAATCTTGTTTACGCTGACGATCAAGGCCACGACGTCCAGGGTTTCACTTCTCTAGTCTCACCCTCGTATTAACAGCCACCTTGTCTTGAGACGTTCATTACCTGTGTTCACTCGCTCGCTGTTCTTGATCTACTAACATAGATTAATACCGAAACTTCCCTTGTGTGTGTGTTAGAAGTGAAATCTGGGCCCACATGTGTGGTATTAACATCGTGATTAATCTTGTGGGTAAATCTTGTCTCGTTGTTTATCATGATGGCCAAGAAATTGCACTCGACACGTCTCTCTCGCTTGAGGTGAGGTTAGATTAGCTTGTTAGGTTAGGTGAAAGGATTAGCTTAGGTTAAGTTAGATTAGTATGTCAAGTTAGGTTAGGTTAGGTCAGGTCAGGTTTCTCGAGAGTAATTCAACCCCGGTCATCGCGAGAGAACATTTTTCCCTATAAATACCCTCACATTTAATACACAGTACTATCATCAGTGTTATGGTCATCAGTGTAACAGGGACTCAGGATGCAGGAGGCCTTGTCTGTGACGCTCCTCTGTGTAACAAATAATTAACTGGTTTTTCCACAGCCAGCAAGCAGCGTGGCCTTACAGTGAGAGTCTCCATACAACTGCTCTCTCACTTCTCCCTGTGTGAGGTGTATAGATTGTGTAGATGCTGTACTGTATCTCCTTCCTTCCTCCTCTTCTGTCACTAAATAATATCATAATATAACATAAAGAGTAAAATACAGCTTTAGGAAAAATTTTTGGGTGAAGGGGGGGGGAAACCCCCACACCCCCGCTTCCTACCTCCCTCTCTTTAACCCCGTCACTTCCTCTTGGTGGGGGTATATATTACTTGGTGCTGTGGTTGATGTTTGTCGTCTAATCATTTGCTTGAAGATTGAGGGGGGGGGGGGAGGTCTTCCACTCGCCACCACAACCGCTGTGAATTATTACTATCTTTTGTTTTTTGTCGTCAGCCGCGTCATAACTTTTTTGGAATGGTGGTGTTGGAGGGGATCTGTGTCCAGGGTTTTTGTTTTTGTTTTTAGGCAGCCACCACACCACTGTTGTCACCGCCACCACAATCCCACACTTTCATCACCACCACACTCCCATCACTATACCTAAACCCCACAGACATAATCACTTCCACATCCTCCTTCCCCACATCACCACCTCCCACATATATCACAGTAATACCCCCCTCTCACCCCTCCTTCCACATCTTCCAGACTCCAGACCACCACTACCAAGAAGCAGCTCTACCCCATTTTGTCATAAGGGCGAAGGATTGTATTGTAGAGTGTAGCCAACCCGATCTTATGGCCAACTCGATCTTATGGCCCCTCCCCTGCAGGTACCGTATGTGTTGGTGTGGCCGCTTACACTCGCCACACTGGGATGATAAAGTGACAGCTGTGTACCTCAAGATGTTTGTTTTTGTAAGTGTCGTCTTATGTGCTGTTTGGTGCTACTACATCAGCTACGGGGTGTGTTATGTGTGGGGGCATAACCGAGACATCAACCCAGTCCAGACACGAGCGAGCGGAACTTGACGTCAATCATTATAGCAACAAGATCACATTGCTGAGTAGAGAGAGACGTCAAGATTACACACGCAGGGAGTGACGTAAAGTGGCTGTTATCACGAGTCCCCAGTTTGTTGGTGAACGTTTAGTGAACTGTCTCCCCCTTTACCCCTCCCTTTCCCCCTCCCTTTCCTCTTTCCCCCTCCCCTTTTCCTCCTTCCCCCACACATACTGTACCTACATACATATATACATAGACTTGAAAGAAATCTTTATCAGGTCAGGTCACTCGTTGTCTTAGATTAAACACTAAACTCCCTTAGTCTTGCCTCTTAAAGCAACAGCTAGTTAAAAGGTCAAGGGCACCAAGTTACTCTGTGGAAATTTTGTTACGTTTCTTTGTGACCTGATTGCTGTCTCCCTGCTCTAATATGACGTTTTTTGTCATTATTACCTGAAGATTAGACACCCCAGCTTATCTCACCTGAAGATTAGACACCCCAGCTTATCTCACCTGAAGATTAGACACCCCAGCTTATCTCACCTGAAGATTAGACACCCCAGCTTATCTCACCTGAAGATTAGACACCCCAGCTTATCTCACCTGAAGATTAGACACCCTAGCTTATCTCACCTCAAGATTAGACACCCTAGATTATTATAGCTCAAGATTAGACACCCTAGATTATTATAGCTGGAGATTAAACACCCTGGATTTCTTTGGAGGTGAACATCTTATCACAGCTTCCTAGAGGGTATCCTATCTGGGTATAAGGGACTCGTGATCTTTGTTTGACCCCGTGTTCTATTTTGCAGTAGACTCGTTAATTGAGAAACATAGGTAACAGGTCATAGATACAGGTAACAGGCACAGGTATCAGGTAAATATCTCATTATAATAACAGTAGAGAAGAAACATTCACCCAGGACCAGTGAGTGTGTTATTTCCTCTCCTGTCTTGATCCTTGTCTCTGAAGGTCACAGTGGAGGAGGTGCTGTGTGCCTCTGGGTTGGGTGTACAAGGCTGGGTGTACAGGGGATAGTGTACAAGGCTGGGTGTACAGGGGATAGTGTACAAGGCTGGGTATACAAGGGATAGTGTATAAGGGTGGGTGTACAGGGGAGATGTACAGGGCTGAGTGTACAGGGGATAGTGTACAAGGCTGGGTATACTGGGGATAGTGTACAAGGCTGGGTATACAAGGGATAGTGTATAAGGGTGGGTGTGCGGGGGAGATGTACAGGGCTGAGTGTACAGGGGATAGTGTACAAGGCTGGGTATACAGGGGATAGTGTATAAGGCTGGGTATACAAGGGATAGTGTATAAGGGTGGGTGTACAGGGGAGGCATTAGTGTCCAAGGTTGGGTGGGAGGGGACACGTTTTTCGGGAATGAGAGGGGGGAATAGACAGGAGATCAGGGGTGGGGGCGGAGGCAGGCACACGCACCGCTTGTTAATGCTCCAGCGCTTATTGCCTCATCATCTCTCGCACACACAAAACATACAGGTACCTATTTGTTCTTCAGGTGGTCCTAATTGTCCTTATTCAGGTATTCATATTAAGTTTTACCTGACCCAACTGAAGGAGGAACACCTTGGCCGGTCTCACAGTTGGGCGGACACCTAACACGTAGAGTTGTGATCGAACACAGCGGAGGGGTGAGGTTAGGTTAGGTTATGAGGAAGATGTATGTTTTGGGCTGAAGGAGAGGGAAGAGAAGAAATGGGACGAAAGTGGTAGGGAAATAGTTGCTAGTTAGACGGGGCGGAGTTTAAAGAGAGAGTGGAGGGGGTTAGGGAGGTGGGGTGGGGGGTGGCGTAGTTTCCCTGGGGTGTGCCACTGCCGTGTCAGTGTTACACTTGCTGGTGAACCGTGCGTGCGCTCCTTTCTCTAGTGCCTCTTCGTAACTAACTAACTAACTCACTCACTCACTCGATCGTAGGCCCTCACGCTCATTCACTCACACGCCCACCCACTCAATCACTCACACGCCCACTCACTCGTTCAGTCTACCCATACACGTACGAACGAGTAATTCATCCACCACCACACTCACCCAAATACAGACACACACACACACACACACACACATACACACACACAAGCACTCAGTGAAATTAAATCGCCAGTTCGATACGTGTTAATGTGACTACTTAATGTGACACGTAGTAGTGAAGGACATAACTAGCTTCGTGATGTGTGGGAGTGTTACTGTTGTATGGTGGTGACTGGCCCCCGTGTCTTAATAGACCCCAGCCAAATGAGACGTAATTTAACTTAACCATGAGGATTGGAGCCTTGTCCTAGTGGGTCCTATTTTTGATGGGTAGTTTAGCTTAGGTTGGGGCCATCTGTCCATCGATGGTGCTTTGTTTGTGTCAGTGGGGGTTATGGTGTAGGAGGACCAGTGAATTATTGAATAAGGAATGTTGAGGTCGATCATGGTGTTGTGGTGGGCGGGAGCTACAGGTGGTGATATGGTGAGGGGTGCTACAGGTGGTGATATGGTGAGGGGTGCTACAGGTGGTGATATGGTGAGGGGTGCTACAGGTGGTGATATGGTGAGGGGTGCTACAGGTGGTGATATGGTGAGGGTGCTACAGGTGGTGATATGGTGAGGGGTGCTACAGGTGGTGATATGGTGAGGGAGCTACAGGTGGTGATATGGTGAGGGGTGCTACAGGTGGTGATATGGTGAGGGGTGCTACAGGTGGTGATATGGTGAGGGGTGCTACAGGTGGTGATATGGTGAGGGGTGCTACAGGTGGTGGTGTAGTGTTGTTTGCTTTTGTGTGAAGGAGTGCTTATGCTGGTCCTTGTCTCATAGTGTGTTGAGTTTGTAGAGTTAGATGGGTGTGTGGGTTTATGGGATGATGGGTGTGTGTGTGTGTGTAGATATGTGGGCGAAGTTGCATGTGTGTGTGTGATGGTTATCTATTTGTGTGTTTGTGTGTGTGTGTGTGTGTGTTCGTGTGGGCTATCTTTCGAGCGGACGTGCGTGCGCCCTATCAAGACCTTTAACTGGACTCTCTAAACTGGACCAGTCAGTCTTGCTGGAACAGTTTCGAGTGTACGATCTGGCGCGCTTTCTACCTTCCAAAAGTTTATCGTTATGCATGAGGGTGTTTGGTTGTTTCCGCTCTCTCCAGGGCGTTGAGGTGAAGCTGTCAACACACTCCCCAGCGGTCATTGTTGCTCGTGTGTTCAACTCTCGACACATGGCTGGGGATTATGAGCTACCTGGGGTGGTCAACTCGGAGGCCTGGGTGAATCAAAACGGGTAGGTACTCACTGGGGTGTTGGTCATGATCCACGCATCGTAGGTCGACGGAGAGAGAGATTAGTTTTTGATATGATTAATTACGTCACGGTCTCACGTCATTACTCTTCCCCTTTCTCTTCCCCTCTCTTTCTCTTTCTCTCTTTCTCTTTCCCCCTTTCTCCTCCTTTCTCCCCTCTCTTCCCCCACTTCCTCCTCTTCCCCACCTCCCTCTCTCTTCCCCCACTTCCTCCTCTCCCCACTTCCTCCCTCTTCCCCACTTCCTCCCTCTCTTCCCACTTCCTCCCTCTCTTCCCCCACTTCCTCCCTCTCTCCCTCTCAACCCTCGGTACATTCACCCAGCTGGTTGTCACAAGCAAGAATGTATTGATTGCTGGTCACCTTTTGTCAATATTTTTTTTCTTCTTTTTTCACCTATTTTTCGCAGACGTTCACAATACAGTACTTCCCTGAGACCACATTCACAGAGGGTCGCCAGATGAATGCTCGTAAATGAAGGTAAACGAATGTATACCTAAATGATTGACTGAAGTTAGATATAGAAACAAGACCCGGAATAAGAGCTAAATTATACCGAGAATAACTATGCATTCCTTACTTGCATACCTTGATTAGATACGTGAATACTTTAATTTGGTACGTGCACACCTTAACTAGATACGTGCACACCTTAATTGGATACGTGCATACCTTAACTATATACGTGTACACCTTAATTTGGTACCTCCACTTGGCAGCAGTTAGGCAAGCAACACCAATTAGCTAGAATTATGTTTCAAAGCTTCTCCACCTTAACCTTGCCTTAATCTTACCTTACCTTAACATTACCTTAATCTTACCTTACCTTAATCTTACCTTACCTTAACATTACCTTAATCTTACCTTACCTTAATCTTACCTTACCTTACCTTTGCTAATCGAAACCTGAGAACGACAGTGTACCTCGAAACTAACCTAACCATTATGTTGCAAGTTACTCGTGAGTGACGTGTGTTCCTTGGTAGCTGGTTTTGTGTTGTGTCGAGTCATTGCAACCTCCAGTTTAAGTTCCTTTTATCGAGGTGGTAGTGAGTTCCGTTTATCGAGGTGGTAGTGTGAGTTCCTTTTATCGAGGTGGTAATATAACACGTCCTTACCTACTCACTGAGAATGTGTCTCAGTTATTTATATAATTTATCTAACTGGGAGAAATAATTACACTGGAAAGTTAATGGGTCTTATAAAATTGTTTTGTCGAATTTGATTTTTTAAACTTTTATTAACTTCTATTTTTTCTGGTTTTTGTGTGTGTGTGTGTGTGTGTGTGTGTGTGTGTGTTTTTTTCGTTCGTTCCAGTAATGATCGTCACTCGTCCTCACGACTTCCTCGAATTTCACCCCAACTCACCTCTATGACGTATACCACAAATATGCTAGCCTCCCTCTCCTCCCCCTCTCTCCATACGGTGATTTATTGCACTTCCCCTTTTTCCCTACTGTTGTATGCCCTCCCCCTACTGTTGTATGCTCCCCTACTGTTTTATGACCTCCCGTATTGTTGTATGCCCTCCGCCTACTGTTGTATGTCCTCCATTGCTGTATGCCCTTCCCTACTGTTGTATGCCCTCCCCTACTGTTGTATGCCCTCCCCTACTGTTGTATGCCCTCCCCCACTGTTGTATGCCCCCTAATGTGACTCGATAGTTCATAAGTATAACCATTACACTTCATGGTCTGTATGACATCAGACTCAACATGTAGTAGGAAATATGTTATTGATTTTAAACTTAACTTCATTTTAAGTTGTTTATGTTTGTCCTTTAAAATACAAATAAATATTAAATGGATGGGGCGTGGTGAGGGTTGGTGTGGGGTATGTAAGTTAAGCATCGAGTAGTGTTCGCTAGTGCATATGGCGATACTCAATGTACTTCTACTTCACCTTTGGGGGTATATTTTTTTTCTTACATTAAATTATAACTCGCGAATTAATGCCAAATACACGAATAAGTTAAAAGTGACAGACATGCGAGTACAGTATATTCATGGTAGTCATATTCATGTTAATACACACGAATAAATGACGAATACACTGATATAATAATGGTAATACACAGACAAACACAGGTCAGTGGGTGTATAATACAGGTGTGTCTCCTGTGACGTCAACAAGGCTCCTACATCCTCCACTCAAGGAAATGTTACCTGGGCCTCCTTGGACACCGGTTGGGGAAGTCCCGCGCAGGTGTTAAAATTAAGTGTTAGTTTTCCTTCACTCGAGACAACGCAACACAATGACGGAACTAATAACCGAGTGAGTGAGTCAAGAGGGACGAAGGTCGGAAAATTATCGCGTACCAAACGCCTCCCTGCTCTTATGAAATTGATTTTATTTATTTTATTTACAGTGGTGGAAGAATACACCAAGATAACAAAGACACCAAGATAACAAACGCACACAGGAGTTGTAGACATTATCGCTGGTGTTATTGTGTTTTAAGTGTAGTGTAGCAACCTCAAATTATCGCAGCATTCGTCTTTTTTTGTGCGTGTGTGATATATTTACTCTTCTGCTGGGTAAACTTTTTTGAGGAGTGCAAGTGTCAGGAAGGTATCGCTTGCTCCTCGTCCTCCCGTGTGTGCGGTGGTGACCCGGTAAGTCAGCGGCGCGTGGTGTTGACATGCGCACGTGACTGACTGGCTGGGTTATTACAACATGGGTAACGCATCGTGCCGCACTATCAAGACCGTCGTCATGCGCAAGTCCGAACCAGTGTAAGTATCCCCCCCCTCCCTGTCCTAATGATGGTGGTGTGGTGGTTATGGTGACATTGGTGGTATGGTGTAATGAGTGTTTAAAGGTACTAGTGGGTATGGTGTAATGAGGAGTGTTTAAAGGTACTGGTGGGTATGGTGACTGTTGGTATGGGGTAATGGTGATGATGGGTATGGTCCCGGCCCCCGTATGGTGTATTGGTGCTAATGGTTATGGTGACATTGGTGGTGTGGTGTAATTGTGCTAATGGTTATGGTGACAGTAGTATGGTGTAATGGTGACGTGGTATGGTGTAATGGTGCTGATGGGTATGGTGACTGGTGTAATGGTGACACTGGTGGTATGGTGTAATGGTGCTGATGGTTATGATGACTATGGTGTAATGGTGACACTGGTGGTATGGTGTAATGGTGCTGATGGTTATGGGGTCAATGGTGGTATGGTGACAATGATATGGTGTAATAGTGTTGATGGTGGTATGGTGTTATGGGGAGTGTAATGTCACCTTTGCATCATATAGTGTCATAAATGTGAAGCATAATTAAACAATACAGAATATAGTGTCTGAGATGGGCAGTTTAGTGTCAGAGTTGCATTCTGTAGTGTCAGAAGTGAGTAGGCTGGTCTCAAACTGGTATGACACAGCAGCAGGTGACAAGGTAGTGACTTTCTGACACCCATGACACACTTCAAGTTATGATCTCTGGTAAAAACTAATGCGAGGCATTTTTGAGGACTTCTTGCTTGATTGGTTGCTGTTCGTGAGGACCTCTTGCTTGATTGGGTGCTGTCCTTGCTTGATTGGTTGCTGTTCTTGATGACCTCTCGCTTGATTGGTTGCTGTTTCCCTTTATGCCTGGTAATACACACCACATTGTTCTCATGTGGGTGAATGATGATGTAGGCTGGAGTGGAAGGTGAAGAAAAGGTCATATATATGAAAGCAAACATCACCATCATTTCGTGTTAATGGAATAGGGTGGTTGGGTGATCATTAGGGTGGAGACAATATGACGAACCTTGTTAGTGTCTGAGAGTGGAAGAAAATTTGGTGAGTTATATCTATAGAAGTTGGTGCCCCTGTTCATAAATATGATTTTTCTAGGGAGTCCCTGTGTAAGAGGTTTGATTACGGTATACTGTACAGGACTGTATTCATTCTACACTGTGGTGGTTCTGTAGTGCTTCAATTGCTGTATTTGTATTGAAATTCCATTATTACTGTATTTTCACATTAAAGTATTTTAGGAATATACACTGGCATAATGTCCTTAAAGTCTGTCTCTCTTCCTTTCTCTTTGTGTGGTAAAAACAGTCCTGTATTGCAGGTAATGTCTGTTTATATTTCAAAGGTAGTCTAATGTGCTGCTGAATTCTGTTTTAATGAGTATTTTTTCTTTTCTTTTTCTACAGTGCAGACATTGCCCTTATTGGGCTGGCGGTGATGGGCCAGAACCTCATCCTTAACATGAACGACCATGGCTGGGTTGTCTGTGCCTACAACCGTACAACAGAGAAGGTGGACAAATTTTTGGCCAATGAAGCAAAGGGAACCAAAGTTGTGGGGGCCCATTCTCTTCAAGAAATGGTTGCGAAGCTTAAGAGACCACGTCGTATAATGATTCTTGTCAAGGGTAAGTTGTCGTTGATGATTCTGCATTATTCTACAAGTTTCTGGAATGGGTGTTACCAATAACATTCGTTTCCTTTCTGCATTAAAGTACTACTGTATTAAAAAAAATGAATGCTATTTAATATACGTGGGAACCCAGGCCAAGTTTTATGGTAATTGTGGTGGCTCCAACTCTGTAGATATGGATCTTTGTTAAAAATTCTCATTCATTACTGTTAGGTCACTGTGCAGTATATACTGTATCTGTTTCCAGTTCACATCACCATGGACTGTCACACCAACACTCTAAAACTAAATTCATTACAATGAGTTTTAGATTAATCACTTATATTGTGTATGTTGTGACATAAGGGAAGGTGGCCAGTGGCGTTTCTAGCCTTCGGAAAGTGGGGGGGCCACTTTGGAGCCAAGGTAAATGTTGGGAGGGGGGCAATACCAAACCTGTGTACAACTTGCAAGATGCAGATTTTGGCATTATTACACCAATTTGATTGACAAATGTGAAGTGACGTCTCTCATGACGCCAGCCTAAAATAATCAGCATATGGCGGTATAATGGCAACGCTCTTATTCCACTAATCATGATTCATTGGAGTATTGACATATATGAACATATCTCTAAAACTGTATTATTGCTCACATAGTCACATAAAGGGCGGGCGTACCACATAACAAACACTGAAACATATAGCAGTGTCTTTACAATGTATGTACATACATCAGCGAAAAAATGAATGATCTCACGCTTCACACATAATGGAGATTATGGAGACAACGTTTACGTTTTCAGACATGGGTGCCGCATGCAACTGTTACATTATACCCAATGGCAAATGGCAATGGTGCGGTTTCAGTTCACACGGTACTTTGACGGCAGCAGTATATTCAGTGCAGCTTAATCCTACGATTATTATGTCGGCTGCCAAACTCGTCGACAAAACAATCTAAATCAATTCCCTCAGCGCGTGCACTTTCAATCAATAGTAGCTCGATGTTACTCAGTCTGTCATACGTTCTCTGTAAACATACCTCACTTAGCAAGTAGAAAAACCCACAGTGGCACTGTGGCAGACGAAATATTTCTTCTGGGTAGTTTCGGCGACAAATTCGACAATTACTGTCAGTCTGTCACCCTCCTGAGTGGAAATACAGAGTGGTAATGTTCATCACCGAAAAGGCAGTTTGTTTATGTACACCGTGATGTGACCCCACCCCGCATATCTGCACCCTCCTAATTCCTGCCCTCCGGGCCTCACCTCACCGATCTCACCTCACCTCACCCATGCCTGCATCTGGCGTGCGGCGCGCCTATTGCCTGAGTCACTTGACTCACTTCCTGGTTTTGGGAATGTTTTTGGAATTACAATTTTGAGAATAAAAAGTGGGTGGGGGGGCAGCCCAAAATCTGGGGGGGCCATGGCCCCCCCCCCCCCGTAGAATCGCCCCTGAAGGTGGCTGCTGCTTATTACAGTATTTTTACCTGCTAGATAACACCGTATAACTATGTTTTATGAAGGAGTAGACTTTCCTAATGCAAATACCTGAACTTTTTCCAGCTGGAGCAGCTGTGGACAGCTTCATTGAGAAACTAATCCCCCTTCTGGACAAGGGAGATATTATTATTGATGGTGGCAACTCTGAGTACCAAGACACACAGAGAAGGTGAGAAGAAAAAGTTTTGTCTTGACTGAGTAGTTTAGGAACATTGCAGTGCTGTACTGTATACATATGGTGGTTCTCAGTTGTGAATCTGTTTTACTTCAAGTCACAGTTAAACATCGACAGAATACCTATAGAAACTTTTACTAATACAGTACAGTACTCGTATTCATAAAATGACATCAGATTAAATTTTAATGTTTGCCTTTTCTTGTCAGGTGTCAGCAACTTGCAGAGAAGGGCCTTCTGTATGTTGGGTCTGGTGTTTCAGGGGGAGAGGAGGGGGCTCGTTATGGTCCTTCCCTCATGCCTGGTGGGCACAAGGAGGCCTGGCCACACATCAAAGATATCTTCCAGGTAAGACGGGCATGTCCTAAACTTTGTGAAAGGAAACAGGAGTAGTCAGTATATTTTCTTTATTATAAGTATACAGTACTGTACATTGGTTCTGTCTTCTGGATTAAAGATTTGTTTTATATTCTTATCATCTTTTGTTTTTGTGCAGTAACACCTTCTTAATTCAGAATAATACTAGTAATTGAATGTTGCTTATTTCATATTTTTGGTCAAAGTGTGTGATTCACTATGTGAAAGTTGTGTTGACAGAGTGCACTATATATAGTGTTTACTGTATGCTGTAGTCAGATCAACAAGTACATTTTTTCAATCAAATATACATTTTTCAATCAAGAATCATTAAGGAAGATTCTACAAAGGTGACAACCTCAATTAAGGGGAGGTTGCAGGGGAAATATGGCATCAGGCATTTACACTTGATGTATTTATTTCAATGTTTGTAGGGAGAGAGAAAACAATGGGAGTTACCTGTGATAAAGTCTTTAATTTGTGAAAAAAACATTAATACTTCATGCTATTTTTTTATGTAACTCATAAATTAAATGTATATCACTATTTTGTTCATGTCAGTTTATAATAAAATATATCAGTTTTAAAATAAATGTAAAAATGAGTCTTGTATTCTTGGATTTCTTGTAATGCATACACCTGTATATTGTATTGTAATCTTTTTCAACACAGAGTATTTGTGCCAAGTCAAATGGAGAGCCTTGCTGTGACTGGGTCGGCGAAGATGGTGCTGGTCATTATGTTAAGATGGTTCACAACGGTATTGAGTATGGAGACATGCAACTCATCTGTGAAGCTTATCACCTTATGAAGTCTGGCCTGGGCATGGACTGTGACGAGATGAGTAAGGTACTGTACTGCATTATTGACTCCACATTTGTTAAGTTTCCAATACTATACTGCACTGTACAGTACTCCTGTATATCTGCTTGTTCATGTCTTTACCAAATTCGTCATTATAAGTGTTAAGAACAAAAGGAATACTTATATTGGAGACAAAGTGTTAGGATGGATTAGACTGAATAAAAACTACATTCAATTGTATTTTGTGAAGTCATTATGATTTTAGGCATTTGGAAAGTTTAGTAATATGCTGCGTCTCTTTCTTTAGTACTTTGATTTGATTTTTTTTTTTTGTCATATTAAGACCTTGAACTAAACTATGATTAGCTGATAATACATTATATTCTTTATGACTTATCATCAATGTTATGTAGCCATTTACCAGAATGATGTTTTTTAGGATGTAAGAAATGTAATGAATATATTTTATGCTCACCTATTTTTTATTTATAAACCATTTAACACAATTATATTCTTGTGTTGCAGGTGTTTACAGAATGGAACCAAGGAGAACTGGACTCTTTCCTCATTGAAATTACTGCAAATATCTTAAAGTTCAAGGACACAGATGGTTAGTGTGTGTACTTTTGCAGTCTTACACAGTACAGTATTTGTAAGAGTTCAGTATAATTTTCTTTATCAATGTATTCAGCCACTTATAGGTCCATTCAACCATTGAAACTTAGGCATTTATCCATTCATTTCTATGTAAACTAAATGGTTTGACCCTTGAAGCATTAAAATGTTGAGAAAATGCTGATACAATTAATTAAAAAAAAAACTGTTTATAAAAGAGATAAAGGCTACCCAGAACTTATGAACCATGCAGAGTATATTTGTATGTTCTATTGAAATGTTTATTATGTTTTATACAAATAAGGAGAATGCAGCTCATCAATGGTAATCATTAATATAATATGTAAAAAAAATGGACCGTGTCTAAACTGAACGCTGCTGTGCTGTCCTTGATGAATCCGTCATGAAATTATGTGACATGCGGAATTGCATTTGATTTATGTATATCTTCGACGTACATTATATTGTTTTATCACACATTTTAGAACAGGGCTACTCAATTACTGTTTGTGCGGATCCAGTCAAACAAATATCCTAGAAGGCTATGGAACAGATGCATTTTAAAAGAAAACCAAGTTTTTTCAGGGGAAAGGCAAGGGGAGAGGAGAGGATGGGGGTCCATACCAAAGCTCCAATTGAGTAGCCCTGTTTTAGACGATATGTACAAGTCAGGTAATATAAATAAATAGCAAAGCCATGTTCATATTTAAGGTGTTAGCATCACTTTTTTTATTTAATGAATCAAGAGTTAAAAATGAACAAAGTGCTCATATGTTTGAGGTAGATTTCAACATATGAGAGACCTAGCAATTCCTAAATATCCAAAACTTTGAATTCATCATGTAGAATTTTAACCCCTCATGTATGGGCTTCACTCTATGCTGAATAAAATCCTCTGTTATCAGCCAAATAAGATATCAAAAGTGGCGTCCCCATCATGAAGAGGTTAATTCCTTAAATTTCAAATGCATTATTGTAGTTCAAATAGATATCCAAATGTCTTTACACTCAGGTTCTGCATTGGTGGAGAAGATTAGGGATGCTGCAGGTCAGAAAGGCACAGGCAAGTGGACAGCAATATCTGGGCTGGATTATGGTACTCCGACCACACTTATTGCCGAGTCTGTGTTTGCTCGTTGCTTGTCTTCCTTGAAGGTGAGTATTGTACTGGTATATATGGCATATATATTTTCAAGTTTACTGTGTATGTAAGTATTATCAGAAGAAAAATATTGAAATATAATAATTTTTTAACTTGTAAACTTACAGATACCAATGTTTGGGGGGAAATGATGCAATAATTTTGAGTGCAATCTTGAACATATTAATTGAATATAATTACATTAAGATTAAACTTCTTTTATTTTTACTTTGAACTCATTTCTATACTGTGTCTTATGCAGGATGAACGTGTGAAGGCCAGTAATGTGCTGGAAGGTCCTGGAGACAGTAAATACTCCGGTGATAAACAAGAATTTATTGAAAATATCCGTAAGGTAAGTTAAGTAAACTACGCTCTCTTTCCAGATCATTAGTTCTTGCTTTAGACGATATTTTGTTTCTTAACACTTACTTCGCAGTTGATGAACAAAGGAATAAGTGGTGTCAAGTATTACAGATTTCAATTGAATCGGTTATGCCAGCTGATGATTTTATGGTAATTTTTTATATTCAAGAACCCAAAGTGATTACTATATGGTAGACCGTGAGGTAATTAGGAGCCTAAAAATCATTAGGAATAAAGTCTGATTTAAAGGTTCCTGTTTATTACATGCTCTCAGAAATAGTATAGTAATCACTTTGGGTTCTCGAATAAAAAATAGGTAACCCTGTATAAATTACAGTACTACAAGTACTGCTGTTATGGTTATTTTAGTTGGAATTTTAGCTTTGTGGTCTTAGGGATATTAAGAAATAAGTCACCTAGTTCCGGGCTTTGACATAAAATGAGATTGTGGGATAACTTAATTTATTTATAAGAAGAAAAAATAACTTACAAATTCTTCTTTCAGTGTATTTAAATCAATAGACTACACACTGTACTTGTCAATCTGTTTCAGGCTCTCTATGCAAGCAAAATTGTGTCTTATGCTCAGGGGTTCATGTTGCTGCGGGAAGCTGCTGCCAAATTCGGCTGGAACTTAAACTACGGTGGTATTGCTCTTATGTGGCGTGGAGGTTGTATTATTAGAAGGTGTGTACTGTATAACCTTGTGGTGGTGTTTTATGTTCATTCACTTAACCTTTCAACCCAGGTTTTATCTTTCTCTTCACCTGTTTTAGTTTCATGGATTGCTAACTTTCTGTTGTCAGTCTCAAGTTCACATTACCTGTATACATATTCAGGATATTTTGATGCTTTTATCTTTGTCTCTCTTTCTCCATTTCTTAAATTAGTCCTCTACTTTACTTCAAGTTAATTGTTTCTTAATAAGAAAAATGGTGACTGTATCACTACATTAACCAAACCAATATGCAGAATTTTCAGCATTTGTTTCAAGTTTTCCTTTGCATGATCCTAACACTTTAAAGTGGCAGAAACATTTTGGGAATATTAACATTAGAGCACATCCACCATGTGCTTGGGCTACACCAGAATTCTAAAATCATCATCTTTACTGAGAGTATTCTTGTTTAGTGGTCACAAATCTTTATTTTTCTGCTTATCTGTAGGAAGAAATATCTTTTTCATGTCTGATAACTATGGGAAATGAGTCACTTTATTATTGATTTTGATCTTTTCAGTGTGTTCCTGGGTAAGATCAAAGATGCTTTTGGCAAGAACCCACAACTGACCAATCTTCTCTTGGATGACTTTTTCAAAGAGGCTGTAGGCAAGTGCCAATCAGGGTGGCGGGCTGTTGTGGCCCAGGGTGCTCTGCTCGGTATCCCTACACCTGCTCTTAGCTCTGCCCTTGCATTTTATGATGGCTACAGGTCTGCTGTGCTCCCTGCCAACCTTATTCAGGTAAGAGATCATTTGAGAGGATGAGGTAAGTTTGCTCCCACAAGTTTTATTTTTTCAATTACAATTGAATCCTGTGAATAACACAGATGAACACAGCTGTGTGTAATGTTCAGTGATTGGAAAGTTTATCTGGCAGTCCTTAAGGAAATGTGTTAAGACAGATAAACAAAGTCCTAGCTGTAAGTACAGTATTCTTATTATTTTAATGAGGGTAAACATCAGTAGCATGTTATACAAGAGCTTAAAAAGTTAATGGCTAACATTCCAATAAACTGTATAGCATATCTATCTATTCATCTAAAATTCTATATACGTACAGTAGTGTACTGGACGCTGTTCTTACATCTTCAGTGATTATACAGTATTGTATATCATGATTGCTCCACAACAAAGATATCAAAAGCAAAAGCCATGAACAAAAAATTGCATTTATTCTACTGTTTTCAGGCCCAAAGAGACTATTTTGGAGCACACACTTATGAGCTGGCTGCATCACCTGGTAAATTCCATCACACTAACTGGACTGGTACTGGGGGTAATGTGTCAGCAACTACATATGATGCTTAAAGATTTACTCTTTAATGTTATAAATGCCTCTGTACCATCTGTAAAGAAGGGGTTGTTGTTCCTTTCATACTTTTGTCATCCAGTTGACACCTGTTATACTTTCTCCTATTTGTCTCTCAGTTGTCTAAATACAGTGCTGTAGCTTGTCTTTCAAACAGAGATAGATTCCAAAAGCATAATGAATAATTGATGTTATTGGACAATTTAAAGTATTTAATACAGTTTTATTTACATATCTACGTGAGAGATATCAGAAGCTCAGAGACGAGTCATAGGTTGTGTGAACAAATTGCAACTAATTGACGGATGAGAAGATAGTAATAAATTATCAAAGACATTCCTTCAGTTAAACTTATAGATTCTCAATAAGTAATTCTTTATTGAATACTTAACAGCTATTTTGCTAATTGCCTTTTATTTTATAATTTTATATATTTTTACTGCATACAGTATATATATAAAACTTGGAGGGTAGCATTCTGTTAGATTGCTTCATTCTATTTGGATTCCATGGCTAAGCAAATCACTAAGTAACTAACTGTACATTGCCACTGTTAGGAGTAACCTTGGTTCAAATGAGTTAGGTTAGGTTGGAACAATAATATGATGGATCTATCAAACTATCCTCATAGGCTGTGACAACATAGTGTGCATGATGATGTCAACACTAGAGTACAGGTAGCAGTTGTATTGTGTCAGCGTAAAGGTAATAATTTAATTATCTATTATTATACAGAAGAGAGTCTAGAAAGATCTCTAGGAATACAACTAAGCTCCAGGTAGTATACAGTATTAGTTGACGATGTTGCATTATTATTTTAATTTTTACTGAAACTTGCAGACTTTTACACATTTCTCCAACATGAAGGGAAAAAATACATCAAATTAGAGTGCGTGAAAATTTTTTTACTTTGTGAGTTTATGCAATAATTTTAAACTTAGATGTACAGTTTCATTAATTATCTTTTTATAACTGTCAAGTATTATATTTTATTACTGGGATTAACTAAAGTTAATAATTTTATTTATTGTACATGACATAAACATTTTATGATCAGAGTACATCTTGGTGCATTCCTAACATTCCAGTAGTAATTATACTTCTTGAGTTACAGCAGTGTATGATGGTACTTGGAATTCAGATCAAGTAATCACAATCTGGTTCCAGGCATTTAGAGTCTTCAGATTATAATCGAGTTGTCTGGCAATTCAGATGTATAAAATAGCGTTCTACAGTGTATTTAGGAACTTCTAAGTATCAAAGTTATTACAAAGCCACAGATTCACCAAGAGGCCTTATTTCTCAAAAGTGGTTCTCATACTTTTATGGTACTTTTTAAAAGTTGCTTGGTAATGAAATAAAAGAGTTTTATGAATTTTAATAATATATACTTATAGAATATTTATATTGTTTTCTTTGTTTTCCTTATGTACTGATAAAGATATGGTACAGTTGTAGAAATGTGTTCCTGCACCCCCTGTAGTAACCCGTGTCTCCAAATGCCAATGTCGCAGTAGTATCACTATTTATGAATGAATGGGTATTGGTTGTGTAACGACTGATGTGATTTGTGGATAGGATTGCTATACTGTAGGTCATATAGGTTGGCTGTTTGGAGACACAGGTTACCACAGGGGGACTAGGAACACATTTCTACAACTGTACCTTGGGGCCTCATTAAGAAAAGGGAGAATAAAGAGAGAGTTTGTGTTTGCTTTTGATTCTATCTAAATCAGAGGCTGACACTTTGCCTTGCCCATTACCCCTCATTTTCCTGCCATGCCCATCATCCCGTACTACTCTACTTTTTCCACCACCCATCACTGCCCTTCTGTTTCATTTTGCCTGGATACATTAAAACTGATTTATTTGTGACATGTTTTATCCATTAATGCTGTAAACCTTCAGTGTGTGTTGCATGCAACATTAAAAAAAATGCATTTTGTAAGACAGACCTTGTTTAGAATATTGTACATCATTTAAGACTAATTTTTAAACAGCAATTTTTATGTGAAAGGGAAGTTGCCCCCACACCCTCCTTCCAGTCTTTGATCATCCCCCCCCCCAACCTTATGATACTTTGGATATGCTTTGATGATTTAACCACACACACTCACAAACTCACTCACTCACTTTATAACAGACTTTTCCACCATACATAAGACAGACAGATAGAGGATATAAGATGCAGGAAGTAGAGAGATACTACAGTACTGTTGGTTTATTCCAGCACCTGGCAGGAAGTTTTTGTTTACAACAGCCACAGTCTACACTTCTGGGTACCATATGCCATGTTTATAGGCCATCATAAGTAAAATTTATTGATATTATAGCAGTCATTAAGGATGGTAAGAAAATCAGTATTGGATTGTAAGGTTAAGATATAATAATTTCAAAACTTGCATAACTGTACTGAATTGTATATTATTTCAAGTATTTGCTTCATAAGTGTAGATGACGCTTAGTTCACGTTGTCAGAGAGCCTAATCTTTTTTTTTCTTCGGGTTTCTGTTTTTATTACATATATATTTTTTCTGAACAAATGTTTAGTACAGTACAATATAGTAGTCAACAAAAGTTTGCCAGCAATTTTGATAGACTTGTAATAAAACTTATTTTTGATTATGTTCTGGCATCAATGAGAGGTATAACATGAGAGATAAATCTCATAGATGTGTCAGATTAACGGCAGCTACAAAAACTGGCAGTCACCATCCCAAGCTTCATTGTTTTGTGAGGCAGAGTGAGAGACATGCTGTTACCTCTACAACATGATCACTACTAGCAAAATTGTCTTAGCCATCACAGTCTTTATCTGGGCAAGAGGAACTCTGGCAGTGGAGCAGTGCCTTGTGTACAGTCATGGTGCTCCTCAAACCTCACTCCAAGACTCACAGCCCACCACTATCAGCCTTAAGCCTCAAGATCCCAAATGGAGAATTAATTTGCTTTTATCAGGAAATGACGAAACTTGTGTAAGTCTGGAAAGTAATGGAAACATGGTCTATGCAAGTGTGATTGATGGTGACTGTAAAAGTCACAACCAAAGTCCTGATGTGCACTCCATGAAAGAATTTCCTCAAGAAGAATGGACACACCTGAAAATTACAAAGAACTGTTCACAACTTCACCTTCATGTGGTTGGATATTATGTATTTCCTATAGTAAAAGACCTGCAGGATTTAAAAGTGATATTCAACCAAGGCGTATCCTTCACCTTCAATTGCAAAGACATGTGTGTCTATGAGGTTAAACCAAATAAACACAAACAAAATTTGACCCCTTTCAGAGAATTTTTCTTCAAACCAAATATAACCTTCAAAAAAATTCAAGTAACGTGCTGGACAAAAACTCTTACAGGGAAAATGGTAAAAACTATTGTGCATGTTACAAGAGCATCCTTGGCTTTAGCACCGTCTGACTGGGTTATAGTGACGGGAGATGTAAAAGAAAAGTGGCTGATATTTAAGAACCAGGAATCGGTGAAGATTGACAATGTTGAATTCTCAGAACCATTAATTGTTGATGGATCGTCTTTCTGGAGTGACTGATCCTCAACAAAATTCACATATGCATATCGAGACAGACGTAGGTACCGGGTATTTCTGAAGCTTCGTGTAAAGAAACCAGTTCTTCTCCACGGACGACGCCTACCACAACAGTTCTGGTCCAGACAACTGAAGTACCAACTACTGCTGTGAGGTCTGGATCTTCAACCATCTACATCTTCTTCATGATCTTGAGTTGTGCTTCAGTTTTGCTTTGTCTTGTGTTTATCACAAAAGGAATCTATGATTATAAGATAGCTTTTACAACACTCAACACAGATCCCAAGAAGAGAGATGTGTCACAACAGCGATCACAGATATATCTGAATGTTACTCTGAAATTCTGCCTAATTTTGCTGATGTTATGCCTTTGTATAATGATTCTTTCTCTTTCCATAACTTTCTTCATACAGCAACATGAACACAAAGGAGATTCAGCTACCAAGGATTTACAACTACCCAACACCATTTACATCTTCTTTTATATCTTGGGATCAGCTTCCTTCCTACTTCACAGCTTTATTGGAATTAAGAAGATCTTTAGTTTGTTAAAGTTCAATGAAGCCAAAACCCAAGCTGGAAGACGAGCAAGTAAACACTCTTCAGTGAGAAGCTCCAGACCCAGGTCTAACCATCAGCACAACTCAGGTCAACCCAGAGACATAAATGACATGGCCAGTTCTGTGTGGGATGATACCGAGAGTCTGCCTGAACACGTGACTTGTTTAACGAAGCTGACACAAACTGTCTTGAAGGGGAGTCTTCTCTTACTTCTTCTTTGTCTTTGTATCCAGTTATACAGCTGGTACCTCTCCTTGAAGATGCTCTCAAAGTAGTGACAAAATTCAAACTTCATTTTAACAGGTTGATGTCTTCTTAATTTTCACATCATTGCATTTATGTATTTAGGTGTAGTAAAGAGGTATGGGTAGGACTGCTCGTAGCAGAGTCCATATGAGAGATGTGAGAGTTGTTCTTAAATGATTTTCTATACATTGTGTGTAAAATCAATGATTCTTCACACATAATTGTTATTTAAAGAAAACTATGAACTATCTTGTCAATTAAATGCACGAAAATGACTGTCGATTATAGACAAGTTACAGTACAGTGTACTTCCATGGATGCAACTACCATGTCAAGATTTTTATATAGTGCCTGTATTTATGGTCAATCAAGAATGTTTCTTATTTTTGTTTAAGCAACCAACTGATTATACTAAATAGGAAATACTTTAGTCACCTTCCTTATATTCTGCTGTACAGAAGTTGCTACATTCTTGTTATAAATTCAGTCCCAAACTCAAATTATTTATAAATAGTTGATTGTGTAATGATCTCTAGCAGGATTTAAAGAGAGAGTATGTGTGTGTGTGTTTAGACTTTGATAAATAAGGATATATGAAACATTCATCAGACACTAATTGTTGAAGAGTTAGTTCTAATTGATAACATAAATAACCCATAAAACCTGTTAAAATAACTTCAAAAAGATGTCATTTTACAAGGACTTAAATAGTAAGGTGCTTTTGTAGTGTTGCACAACAAATTATTTTTATTAACAGTGATCATTAAAATAAGGATTTTGATTTTATTATTCCTTAAAATTTCAAGAGCAAGAATTCAAACATTTTATTAAATGACTGAATGGATAACAAAGATATTACATAATGTTATCTTTATGAATTCCTTAATAAACTGTAAAGAAGATAGTTTTTCTTATTCCTCATACTACACAAACGACTTTAAAGATGGAATGGTCACTGTTTACTGTACATACCATTACAGTAATATAGTAGTACATGTACTATGACAGTTGAGTGGATATAGTGTGCATCTGTCATGAGGGTCACAGGTTCAATCCCAGAGTACAGTACTGTACAGAACTTAACCATACTAGTGGGGAAGTGAATGCAATTAAGTGTACTGCTGGCCATGCTGCCTCTTTGTGCAATGAAGGTTTAAGTGTACTGTATGGTGAGCTGTATCTAGACTGCCACTTTCTCTGTTAGCAAATATTGTAGCCCAATTACTGTGGTAGTGTTGTTAGCTTAGGATAGTAATTAAAGTTAACTTACAGCCCTACACAGTTGCTTTGTTTCGTCACCTTTAGACATAAACCTTACATATTGATAAAATTTTAACAACTTTCTCTGATTAACCTTGGTTAAATCTACTGACTGTTTACCATTGTTTGTATAGCTGCACTGTCTATGAACTGTACTGTACTTGCTGAACCAATGTGAAATTTGAATATCACTTTTATCGAATATCTAACAGATCTGTTTAATTATCTATTTTTGGTGGAAACTGGGGCAGTACCTGGGGCAGGTAGCTGCACTCTTAACATAAATGGATTGTAATTATCTGCAGGCAATGCCTGAGGGTTGGCAACTACATCCCTCAACCACCCACACATTTTCAAACTGTACTAATCCCAGATTTTGAATCTCTCCATGGGGACAGACTATAATTTCATCTACAGTATAGTCTGCATTTACGCGGATTTTGTTTACGCGTTTGGTCATTTACTCGGCACCTTGCCAGAATTAAAATTTTAAGTTCCATGGTTCATTCCATCATTTATGCGGGAAGCGGCGCCTGGAGGGTGCGCATTAGGTCGCTCTTAAATTATCCCTGACGTCATATGATGTATCGGACTGTGATTGGGCCACGCATCCTTACCTCCCTCCGCCGCTAGCTGTGATTGGTCTAATGTAACATGACGTTCCCTGCCACCAGAGGGAAGAAGTCGCTGACCTAGCCGGGCCAGTCTCATTGTTCTCAGTTCTCCGCGTATACTATTCTCTCTTGTGCCCGCTATTCCCCTCACAATGGCTTCCGCTGGACCCCCACCACCCCCGAGAAACCTTGAACTGCCTGGACCAAGCCATGGTTATGTGAAGGAAGTCATCGGGTGGGGGAAGAAAATCAAACTCATCCTTGACAAAGACACAGTCAAGCATTGGTATGAAGTGTCTAATAACCTTCTGTCGAAAATTATGGAGCCGTATGTCCAGATGTATCACGACAACATCAGTGTTAGTCTCGCCCGCAACCCACCACAACCACAGCCAGCCCAAGTCAGTGATAGTGACAGTGAGGATATGGACTTTTAGGGCTTTGTCAGGGAGGCCCTGCAAACCTCTCTGAATAGTGATAGTGATTCACCGGAGGGCCACAAATCTGCCCTCTGCCTCGGAACCAGCCACCATCCACGTGTGCCGACCCATCTCTTCTACTGATGTAAGTGTTAAACACCTTTATATTTGCAATTTTTTTATTTAGATATTATGTGTGTGTCAATACCATTATAAAATTATGATGTTATTTTTACTACAACGTACGTATTGTGTCGGAAAAAGTGGAGTTTGGGAGTCGGCCCAGTCTCTATTAAGGTAATAAAATGGCGGTGAAGGTGTAGCTATTGGGGGAGGCTGGAGGCCACGTTAAAAAAAGTAGTAGTAGTAATAATAATACTAGTATACTGTGGTAGTATTAGCGGTGGTGGTGGTGGTGGTGGTGGTATTAGTAATAGTGATTAATTTAGTGGTGGTGGTAATAGTCGTAATCTAATGATCTTGCCTGTTGAAGCTCAGTAATACATTGTAACCCCAACACTCACTTGACAATGCTTTACTTCCAATATACAATTACTGATTTTTTTTAAATATTTCCATGGCGTCAATCTCTCACAGTTAACCCAGAAATTATAGTCGATAAAATCTCACAAAACCAAATTGGAAAGAAAGGAAACCAGTGTGGAAATTTAACATATATTGTCTATTCATTCCATAATATAAAACTTACAAATTATTGACATTATTTAATAGACTTGGAGTTGTGATGAGTTAGGTTAGCTTTATGAACAACATAAAGAGTTGTAATAAATTTAAGTATTAACTATACTTCTAGATCAGCCATGTCAGCAGTTCATTATTGTTCATTTGTATTTTTTTTATTCACAACGGATTTTTTTTTTACATTGCATACCAGTGTTTTCCTTGAGTTCATTTCTAAGCTCCATATTATTTAAATTATTTTTTTTCACGTAAATTCATTCAGAACAGGCATAGTTGGTGGGAAGTAATTCAGTGTTTGATTGTAGGAAACAGCTAGTTATCAGAGGCGGCGTCGTCATAGGGAAGAGAACTTTGTTTGGAGACTTTAGTGAGGCCTAATGAGAAGACTCATGGTCTTCAGGGAGTGCTTCACATTCCTCCAGGGGTACCAGGCTATACCACCGTAAGCGTTACCTCCCACAAGGCGGTAGCGGCCGGTGGGCAGCACGTTGTAACATTTGGCGTACCACCACCCACCTCCACCACCGAACAGCTGGGCGCAGTTACCATCTGTCGGGAAGACCGACCAAGTTGATGTATTTATATTGTCCACATTTATCCTTGTGCATAGATGCCAATGGGACTTGCCCTGTAACCTACGACCTGTCCTGTACCCTATGACCTGCCCTGTACCCTACGAGTTGTCCTGTACCCTTTGAGTTATATAGGCCCCACCCAGTCTTAGTGGTTCCTGACTTAACCTAACCATATGGGATAAATCTGGAACTCGTGAAGATAAGGTAACCCCCGTTTATTTCAACTGATGATTAAACATTGCAATGCTAACCTAACCTATTTAGAGAAAGGGTATTTAATCATCAGGTGATATAAGCTAAGGTTCCCAATCTCCATGAAATCCCGAAGTTTTAAGGTTAATCTCACACTTAATACAGTAGATATAAGGAGTGTGATCAAGATGCAATACCATATCACTTGTCTAGTAGAACTTTCGGCCCATCTCAACTGTAGTGTTAAGTATTAGGCTACAGTAAGACTCACCTTCATTAGTATCATCGTCCTTGTCGTAGGTAGAGAACTTCATACCGTTGTGGATCTTGAGGCCATCACCCGCAGCACTGTCGGCGTCAAACTCTCCGACAGTGAGGCGGTAGTTGTCCTCGGAGTCCGCCACGCTGTAAAGACACTCACATCACCTTCCTATTACGCCATAAGTTATATATTCCCGTACCTAGGGATGTTGGGTCGCCTCTTAACTGATGGGTGTTAAATCGCCTCTAAATATGACTTCACTTTAGCTGTGACTGAAAGGCGGTGACTTAAATGGAAGGGAAATTATAGGAATACAGATAAAAAAAATCTCTTCACGACAAGTATAGAGGAAAAACGTCTTAACATTTGACTATCCGGGCCTTCGTCAGTTGATAGAAATAACATGATGGTCAGTGTTGTACTGGAATAGTCATATGGACAATAACTTGCTATTTTAAATTCCATCACCTCGTGTCATATCACTGTATCATGTTTCTCCTCAGCCGGGGTTGTGGGGACATTCACTGCTCACACTTAAGCTACGAAGCAAAATTAGTAACTGAAGTAGCGCGGCACAGAACTACATTGAAACCGAACTTTGGAAATATTACCTGAAGACGTTGTACTGTACCCAAGTCTTCTCACCAGTGAAGTCCTCCATCACGACCCTCAGTTGGTGGGGTCGCCAGCTGGTCAGACGGTGCAGGAGTTCATTACCTGTAAAGACATAAGACCTCCACTATGCAAGAACATCACCGCTAATGGATATGAACTCTCCCTCTCTCTCTACTAGGCTACTAATTTAAACATAAATTTGACAGAATGACGAGGACGCCAGCCTTGGAACAACTGCTCTTTAGTTTCTTAGAAAATACGTAGGGTGATTAAGAAATGTACCATAGCAGACAGGGTCCTCCAAAAGTGGGATACAAAATTGCTGAACATTTGTGTAGAAGTTTAAATGTGGTAAAAGTCTATCCAGTATTTACTAACATTCAGTAGTTGTGACATGTTGCTATCCAAATGATACTAAATGTTATAAATTCTTTGAGGTAATGTCAATATTATTATTATTCACTTTATATTTGTATTTTTTGGGGTAAATAAGCTGTTTCAGTTTTGATTTAAATTTCAGGGAAAGTCTGGCGGTATATGTACAGTAGAACCTCAAGTGTCGTGTCGGTGTGTTTAGCTTCAGATGTTAGGTGTGGCGTGTGTGTGTGTGTGTGTGGTGACTCACCAATCCAATATTCATCTGATGGGTCACCAAAACCTTCTTGATACTCTCGGTAGGTGCGGTTGAATCTTTCCCGGCCGCTGCCCCTGAAGAGGATAACTGTCCACCCGACTGGACCACGACCCAACTCACACCGGACCTACAATATACATACTGTATATGGTTAGTTACAGGTTAGTCATTGATTTGTTGTGGAGTTAGTGATATGTTCAGGATGACTTGTTGTGCGGTTAGTGATATGTTAAGGATGATTTGTTGTGCGGTTAGTGATATGTTAAGGATGATTTGTTGTGCGGTTAGTGATATGTTAAGGATGATTTATTGTGCGGTTAGTGATATGTTAAGGATGATTTGTTGTGCGGTTAGTGATGTGTTAAGGATGATTTGTTGTGCGGTTAGTGATATTGGGGATGATTTTGTGATTATATATTAATGATTTAATTACTGTCTGGTATTATCCGTCCTCCAAAACTCATGTTAATTTGTGTTTTGTGAAATAGCTGAAAAGAAACAAATAGTGACGTAATATTCTTGATGTTCGGTTATATTGCGTCATGAATGCTATATTATATTAAGTTTTGTAATACTTTAGGTTATAGCTGAAGGTGAATATATTTCTGGAGTAAGATAACTGTTGTAAGTCTTGGTGGAGGGGAATATATAGTTAATTACCTGTGTTGGTTTATATTTAGGCGGCTTAATAGTGTAGACACCTTCAATAGCCTCGTTAGCCCTGCCCTTGTTATTCTCGTGTATGTCCTGAGCGACCTCCTGACACGAAGTCTTGTACATTTGGCCCAGGATCAGGTCAGTATCCTCTCGCAACTCGGCAACCTCCCGTTGGATCCTTCTCGCTGCTCTTATAACGTCACGCATCGAAGACTGAAGCTGGTTGCGGTTCTCTTGCATTGTGGTCAAGATGGCTTGTAGTGTTCGCTCAATCTTTGAGAAATCAGTGTTTTTTATATAGGAGATAGAGAGATGCGTTGTTGGGTAAATATTGTCTTTACTGTGATACTGGTAATAAAACCGAAGTCTTTCTTAAACTGGTAAATTGGTAAATATACATAATTAGATATATAAACATAATTAGGTACAGGTAAACAAATAATTAGATAAACATAATTAGTAGTTGAGATAAATTAAGTACGAATGAATTAGATAAGTAGACTTAGTAGGTAAATTAGGTAGTTACACAGATAAAGCTTACAGAATTCTGATGGTCGTCCGCGGTGGTGAGAGGGACACTGGCAGTGCGGGTGATGGAGGGTGTCTCTGCGGCTGCCCTGCCACCCCCTGCCACACTCACTACCATCACCACCACAACCACCACAACTCTCACTCCGCCCACCATCTTCCCTCCACCTCACTCTCACACGACCTGGGAAAGAGAGAGAGAGAAATATGGTGTATATAGCTAGTCAATAGAAGGGAGAATACAAAATTTACCACAAGTGTCTAGGTAAATACATCGGTTGTATACATGCTGAGCTGTATACCTGCTTGTCTGTATGTATAATGAACTATATAGCTTCGTTGTCTATATGCATGCTGAACTGTATACCTGCATTGTCTGTGTACATGTTTACTCAATTATAAACTTATAGGACTATTTTACTGAGTATATCTATTGGTGTATTGTAGTGCAGGGGGCGATGAGCCTAGAGGTCACTTGACAAATCACAAGGTTGTGGGCGGGCAGGACCACGTGAAGATCAGCCACCCCAACTTATTTCACCTGTTGATTAAGCACCCTAACGCTACCCAGTGGGGGATATGTTATGTTCCGTTAAGTTAGTGTAGCTTAAGATAGGCTGCCGTCTGGGTGTTTAATCATCAGGTGATCTATTAATGACAGTAACTGATCACCCGGCACATGGCAGTGTAATGGATTCCAGGCCCACACACCCCAGCAGGCGCATCTGAGGACTATGTACCTGTCGCGAGGGAAGTACAACATTCATCGCCTCCACGACCCTCGCCGTTATGTCCCACATGTGGCATGCACCGCCCGTTCTGCCTCACATGTGGCACGCAACTCTGCCAACCTCCAGCCTCCCACCGCGCCCGGAGGGGAAGGGGAGTATTGTAGTGGATTCCTCCCCTACAAGCACCGAACCTTCTCGAATTCCCCAGCCTATGCCTCCAGCGCTGCCCACGGAGCGGGGGTCAACTATCTACCTACGCCTATCCCCGCCTTATAAGGCCTGACACCGCTGTGACCAGCCTTTTTCTACCCAGTGCCACCAGCAAGCAACACCTCCTCCGCGCCAGCCGTGCGGCTGCCGCTCCCGCCAGCGACCTTGGCGTACCTCAAGCCGCGTGCCCTCACTCAGGGCACCCTCACCACTCAGCTCTCTCTACTCAAAGCTTATTACCATGCTACCTACCCAGCAACAAGCTGCATTGTACATCCAATACAATATGTATACAGTGAGCACATTGAGAGTTTCCTTTCTCCATCCCATCCTGAGTGTGAACCAATATCTCATAACCCTACAGCAGTACAGTACAGTAGTTATCTCTGGGCTGCATAAAACATTGAACGTAAGCAAAAGTTTGATAGCCACTGTAATGGTAGTAGATCACGTGTTGTCTAGTGGCTAGCATACGCGGCTCTTCCCCGCGAGGCGCGGGTTCGATTCCCAGCACGGGAGATGTTTTTCTGTTAAAAAAAAAGAAGAAAAGCGTGTGTACTGTGTGCCCAGACTGTACACGTGTACCATAGTATGCTAATTATTTGAACTATTGAAAGCCTATGGCCAATACTTTCACTTTTTTCTTCGTCCTGCTTGGCTCTAAGCTGTATTAGTAAACAGGGTAACATCGTTAACACAGCCTAGGCCAGGTGGAGTAACACTGGAATGATAACTGTCAACCTTCCTATCATGATGTGACTAAGATTGTTTTTCCCCACACAAGGGAGTTTTTAATGTGTTCAAGAACCTTACTGGAAATAAACAACGGATGGCTTTGATGGTTATCATTGCTCGGGTTACTTTATTGTTTATAATTGTTTGTATACCAACATTGTCTAGGTACGCTGGGAATTGTTTACATGAATGGTCAATACGCTATATTAGTTTATATTTAACTATATATTTATATCTACAACTATATAATCTGTATAGTATAGACCTACCGTAGCCTAATGTGATGAAGGGAGGGGGCATGATGCTATCAAGTATTCAGCGGTACATAATTATTAATTTTTGTCGTAGAATTTTTACTTTTACTTTTATCCTCTTCGCCACTGATCGGCTTGTTAGCCGCTTGGGCGATCGGTCACGTCTCTTTTCCTTTATATTCTTCACCAAAAGGTCGGCTCGCTAGCCGCCCGGGCGATCGGTCACGTCTCTGTCACGCACTGTTGGCAAATACTGGGTATGCACCGGCTCCTGAATGTACCTGAACCCGCTCCAGTGTTGGTCAAGTCTTCTCTTGAAAGAGCTCACACTCGGTGCCGTCACAACACTCTCTGGTAGATTGTTCCAAGAGTTTACAACCCTCACTCCGAAAAAGTTTGCCCTCACGGTTTTCCGGACTTGCGGCTTCTTCAATCTTGAGCTGTGACCCCTTGTGGGGCGAGCGTCCGCCAGCTCCAAGTAAGGACACTCAACTGAGTAGTGCCCCCTGAGATGCTTATAAACCTCAACTAGGTCCCCCCTTGCCCGTCTGTAGTATAAGCTAGGCAAGTTCAGGCGCTCCAATCTCTCAGGGTAGCTGAGATGCCGAAGTGCAGGCACCAGTTTGGTGGCCCTCCTTTGAACATTTTCAACCAACTGACAGTCCCTAGCATATCTCGGGGACCAGATGGGGTGACAGTACTCCAGATGGGGAAGCACTTCACTCCTGAAGATCGTCACGAGGGACGGACCGTCTAGATATCTGAACGACCTTCTTATAAGACCCAATAATTTATTTGCCTGATTTACCTTCTTCTCACAATGGCCCGAGAACTTCAGCTCATTGTCAACATACACACCTAGGTCCTTCTCACACACAGTCTCAACTAGTACATTTTCTTCATCCCGTTGGGACATATGGTACGCCTCCTTACCGTTGGTACGCCCCAGGTGCATCCTCTTACACTTCGTGACATTGAATCTCAGCAGCCATTCCTTCGACCATTCCTGGAGCCCACAGAGGTCCTTCTGCAGCTCTTCACAGTCCGCTTGGTTCTTAATTTCCCGAAATAACTTGGCGTCATCGGCAAACATTTGTATGGAGGAGTGTACAACGTCAGGCATATCATTTATGAAACAAACAAACAACAGCGGGCCCAATACACTACCCTGCGGTACCCCACTTGTTACAGGTACAGATGACGATTTCGTGCCATTAATCACCACACATTGCTTGCGGTCATGTAGAAAGTCTTCTATCCACGCTAGGACATTTCCCCGAATTCCGTACCCTTCCAGTTTGATTTTCAGCCTTTCGTGGGGTACACTGTCGAAAGCCTTGGCAAAATCTAGGTAAATATTGTCGATATTACCACCCCGTTCTAGAATATGGGTCCAAATATCCAATACCTTGAGCAATTGTGTCAAGCAAGAGCGCCCCGGCATAAAACCAGCCCAATAGACAGTGCATAAAACCGTGTTGGCAATCTTTTACAAGGTTGTTTCGTAGTAGATGTTCCATCGCTGCATCTCTGATAATACTCTCAAGTACTTTACATATTATGCTGGTCAGGCTCACCGGTCTATAGTTGTTCGTGGAGTGCCTATCGCCCTTCTTGAAGATAGGACTCACATAAGCCACTTTCCATTCACTGGGGACCATTTGTTCATCCAGGCATTTACAAAACAGAATCTTCAGGGGCTCTGCAAGCTCGTTGCACAGCTCCCTTAGCACTCTAGGATGCACCATGTCAGGTCCAGGACTCTTATGGACCTTTAGCCTGGACAGTTTATTTCTAATACCCTCTTCTGTGAACACAATGTGGGTCAGTGCTGTGTCGAACCGTCTGTCCTCAAACGCAGGAAGGTTAGTTGCATCCTCTCTTGTGAACACTGAGGAAAAGAAGCTGTTCAATGCCTCAGCTTTATCCTGGTCAGAATCTGCATAACTACCATCTTCAAGCCTCAGGTCTGATACTCCTACTCGCGTTTTCAATTTCGACTTTGCATAGCGGTAAAACGCCTTTGGGTTTGACTTGACCTCGCGTGCAACCAGCCTTTGGAACTCCTTTTCAGCCCTCCTACACTCTATCTTTGCTTGGTTTCTGGCTCTTGCATACATCCTCCTGTCTTGCTCATCGTTTGACCCAACCCACGTCTTGTACTGGATCTGAGGTAAATGTAATTACTTTGAAATATACCGCACTGTGACTGTGTGAAGGAGAGGACTTACTTGACTTACTTTTATCTTCTTCACCAAAAGATCGGCTCGTTAGCCGCTTGGGCGATCGGTCACGTCTCTGTTACACACTGTTGGCAAGTACTGGGCATGCACCGGCTCCTGAATGTACCTGAACCCGCTCCAGTGTTGGTCAAGTCCTGTCTTGAAAGAGCTCAGACTTGTAGCTTTACACATTGATACTTTATTATAACCGTTTGTTGACAAGAGTTCACTGGAGTGAAGTTAACTAAAGAAGTATACCGTGCATCTTTTGGAGAAGGTCGACTAATACAGCTGTGTTCAAACAATGAGAATAGACTTACAGTATTGTGAAGATGTTTGTGTGTAGTAGAGGCACTCGGTATGGTGGGGTCAGCAGGCACTCATACACACTGCGTGGCACGAGAGAGTGACTGAGGTGTATAATGTGTGTGGGTGTACCTGGCACCTCTATACTGGGGGCTGCCTGCATGCCTTGTTGCCAGCTCAGTGGGGCACCCGAGCACTTAACAAGGGGGGGCACTGTGTCTAACCTCAGGGACAAGGACTTCTCTCATGTGTTAAGGAAGACCATCTTGAGTTACATACATTGACCTCTACATGTATGCTTTGCGTAACTCAGTTTTAGGGTCATATGAGCAGTTGCCACACTCCAACTTGTACATAAAGACATCGTTTGTAAACGTGTCTCTGGAGCTAAAAATTACCCTCATGTTTAACTCTAAACTTATACAAAGACTCAAGTACACCTGAGTTTTTTTACAAAGTTATTAAGTTCATAGTTGTCTTGATACACATTTCTAAACCAATATACATTTTTTTATACACACAAGTTAAAAAAAACCCACACCAAATACCAAATATAAACCCCTGAGGTAAATGAATGTGTTTTTAGATTTAGAAAATAATATTCATACGACATAAAAAATTCTGGTCAAAACTGAAGTATTTTTTTGTGGTAGAGGGGGGAGGGGTAATTAATGTTTGAAATTACTTGAGAAACAACATTAGGCTACACAGACAGACACATAGACAACCACTGAACATAAGATAACCATCACCGAGGTTGACAAAAATATGATATTAGATATTTTGTAACATATTTTATTAAATTCTTATACGCGTGAGATTTATTAAGAATATGAGAAAGCACAGCCAGTAAAATGTGTGTATGTATGTATTTATGTAGGTAGGTATGTAGATATGTATATATGTATGTAGGTAGGTATGTAGATATGTATGTATGTATGCATGTATGTATGTATGATTCACAAAATGTATTGGTTAAAAAGATGTTTATTTATATGCTTTGACAATAATAATAATAAAAATAATAATATAAAAGTCCATTGTGTGTAAATACTCCATTAACAAACTATTATCTTAAAAGTAGTTCAGAATCCAGACACCCAGGGCGACGATTCACAAAGGGGAGGGGGGGGGTGATGGGGGACGAGGAGGGAAGGGGGGTGATGGGGGACGAGAGGGAGGGAGGGGACGAGAGGGGGTGATGGGGGACGAGAGGGAGGGGGTGATGGGGGGACGATGGGGGACGAGAGGAGGTGATGGGGACGAGAGGGAGGGGTGATGGGGGACGAGAGGGGGGGTGATGGGGGACGAGAGGGAGGGGGTGATGGGGACGAGGGGGAGGGGTGAGGGGGACGATGGGGACAGGAGGGTGATGGGGGACGAGAGGATGAGGGGACGAGAGGGAGGGGTGATGGGGACGAGAGGGATGGGGGGGTGATGGGGGACGAGAGGGAAGGGGGTGAGGGGGGACGAGAGGAGGAGTGAGGGGACGAGAGGGAAGGGGTGATGGGGACGAGAGGGAGGGGGTGATGGGGGACGAGGGGGTGATGGGGACGAGAGGGAGGATGATCGGGGACGAGAGGAGGAGGAGGGGGGTGATGGGGGACGAGAGGGAAGGGGGTGATGGGGGACAGAGGAAGGGGTGATGGGGGACGAGAGGGAGGGGTGATGGGGGAGGGGAGAGGGAGGAGGGGGTGATGGGGACAAGAGGAAGGGGTGATGGGAGACGAGAGGGAGGGTGATGGGGACGAGAGGGAAGGGGGTGATGGGGACGAGAGGGAGGGGGTGATGGGGGACGAGGGAAGGGGTGATGGGGGACGAGAGGGGGTGATGGGGGACGAGAGGGAAGGGGTGATGGGGACGAGAGATGGGGAGGGAGGGGTGATGGGGACGAGAGGGAAGGGGGTGATGGGGGACGAGAGGAGGGGGTGATGGGGACGAGAGGGAAGGGGGGTGATGGGGGACGAGAGGAAGGGGTGATGGGGACGAGAGGGAAGGGGGTGATGGGGACGATGGGGAGAGAGGGAAGGGGTGATGGGGGACGAGAGGGAAGGGTGATGGGGGGACGAGAGGGAGGGGTGATGGGGACGAGGGGAGGGAAGGGGGTGATGGGGACGAGAGGAAGGGGTGATGGGGACGAGAGGGAAGGGGGGTGGACGAGAGGGGGTGATGGGGACGAGAGGGAGGGGTGATGGGGACGAGAGAGGGAAGGGGTGATGGGGGACGAGAGGGAAGGGTGATGGGGGACGGAAGGGGGTGATGTGGGGGACGAGAGGGAAGGGGGTGATGGGGGACGAGAGGAGGGGGATGGGGGACGAGAGGAAGGGGGTGATGGGGACGGATGGGGTGATGGGGGACAGAAGATGGGGGGACGAGAGGAGGGGTGATGGGGGACGAGAGGGAGGGGTGATGGGGGACGAGAGGAAGGGGGTGATGGGGGACGAGAGGAAGGGGTGATGGGGGACGAGAGGGAAGGGGTGATGAGGGACGAGGGGGTGATGGGGGACGAGGAAGGGGTGATGGGGGACGAGGGAGGGAAGGGGTGATGGGGACAGAGGGAAGGGGGTAATGGGGGACGAGAGGGAGGGGGTGATGGGGGACGAGAGGGAGGGGGTAATGGGGGACGAGAGGGAGGGGGTGATGGGGGACGAGAGGGAGGGGGTAATGGGGGACGAGAGGGAGGGGGTGTGAAGGGGAGTCACAGCACAAATTATCCCTTTTTAACTTATTTATACACATTATTTCAACAGCTATTTCCTATTATCTGAACAGGATCATTTAATTCTATAGATGAGCCATACACTAAACTATTTATACAGATGGTTTAATATACTCGTATCATCAACTGTCTTATGTATATTTTTACAAACACTCGCCTCTTGAGCTATTATATAAAGATGAATTAAAGAACCATTATGTTCATCTATTAGTGACTTCATAATACAAAAATCTTAAAAAATTTAATTCGTTAAAAAACCTTATATTTCTAAACAAAATGACTTGATATTGATGTAACAGTTGAGGCCACAGTATGGAGTTAACACTTATTACAGGTTGTTTCATATTCCTGAATGACGCCCTAGTGACTCAGACAGGTATGTTCAGGTAGCATTCCATATCTATTGTTTACAGTTCATTGAGCAGTAAGACCTTTGAGCTTCAGGTGTACATAGACAACAGGCCGGGATACCTTCCTCGTATGGATGCATTCTATAGGTGGTTCTATAGGTGGTTGACAGTACCGTCTATAGGTGGGTGACAGTACCGTCTATGGATAGGTGACAGTACCGTCTATAGGTGGGTAACAGTACGACAGCAGATGGGGTCGGGGTCACAGCTCTGTTTCCATGGTAATGAAGGGACGGTCGGCACCAATCAGCTCATCGAAGAGTGTGAGGGAGTCTAGAGAGGGACTCCGGTACCTGTGGAAGTATGTGATGTTGTAGGAATATACCTAGCCTAACCTAGCCTAACCTAACCTAACCTAGCCTAACCTAACTTAACCTAACCTTACCTAGCCTAACCTAACTTAACCTAACCTTACCTAGCCTAACCTAACCTAATTAATCTAACCTAACTTAACCTAACTCTGACCTTTGAGATTTGGAGAGGGAGGACCTAGCTCAGGAATAAGGTAAGATAGGGCGAGACCTGACCTATGAGACTCAGGGAGGAAAGTGGGCGTGACCTGACCTATGAGACTCAGGGAGGAAAGTGGGCGTGACCTGACCTATGAGACTCAGGGAGGAAAGTGGGCGTGACCTGACCTATGAGACTCAGGGAGGAAAGGGCGTGACCTAACCTATGAGACTCAGGGAGGAAAGTGGGCGTGACCTGACCTATGAGACTCAGGGAGGAAAGTGGGCGTGACCTGACCTATGAGACTCAGGGAGGAAAGAGGGCGTGACCTAACCTATGAGACTCAGGGAGGAAAGTGGGCGTGACCTGACCTATGAGACTCAGGGAGAGATGAATCAGCAGACTCGGTCAGTTCGGTCTCCCTCCGTCGCCAAGAGTCGAGGCGAGACTCACTGTACCTCAGCAACGTGGCCACCAGATCACCCACCCTCCACCCGCGGTCACCCAGCAATCTGCACACGATGTCCAGCTGAAGGACACGAATAAAGCTGTATTAGGGCATGTTTTGTATAGAGTGATTGTCCTGTATGGTGGATGAATGATAGTACTGTATGGTGTATGAATGATAGTCCTGTATGGTGCTGTATGAATGACCCAGTTTGTTTAGATAGATATTTATTTGGTATAATCGACATACAAGTTTACATTTGAAGTAGTGTATATATAGAGAGTACAGGTAGGCAATCTACATTGACACTACAGGTATACAAATTCCCCCCCAAAAGACATTAAGAGCTCACCTTGACTGTGTTCTGGTCACCGTAAGTGTAATAGATGAGTTTAGGGGATCCTGCCTTACTCGCTGCCGCCCACTGCAACATGGCTACACCACCACCAACCACCACCACCACCAGGGTTCAGTTCACCATAACAGACACCATGAAACAGTACCATGTAAAAAAAAGAGAGATAAATCATTGTAATTAATAAAACAAGACAAACAAACATACAAAGGTAAATAAATAATCGCTACATTAGCATTTTTTACACCAAGTCATAATTTAACCTTGTCATTTATTTTTGGGAATAATTTTTTCTATAACAGATTTAATATAAAGTTCAGGTCCTTTAGCTTAAAAAATCTAAATTCTTAAACTTATGATTGGATAGACTATGGAGGTGCCAGTATAAGCGAGATAGAATAGATAGATAGAAAGATAGATAGATTATGTGACACTCCAGGAACTAAGTTAACTGGTGGGGTTAAATACGTCGTGCGGTTAAGTTACGGTACTCGTGGGGTTAAGTTAACTCGAGGTTAAGTTACGGTACTCGTGAGGTTAAGTTAACTCGAGGTTAAGTTACGGTACTCGTGGGGTTAAGTTAACTCGGGGTTAAGTTACGGTACTCGTGGGGTTAAGTTAACTCGGGATTAAGTTACAGTAGTCCAGGAGTTAAGTTAACTCTTGTGGTTAAGATAGGGTATTCGTGGGGTTAATTCATCTTGGGGTTAACTAGAGAGGTTAATTATTCGTGTGGTTAAATAAACTCTTGGGGTTAATTGGTCGCGGGGTTAAATTAACTCGTGGGGTTAACTTAACTCGTGGGGTTAATTAGTCGTACCTTTAAGCTGGTGATCACCTCTCAGTGAACCACAACCCCAATTACCGGTAACAACAGGCTTCCCGCGCTCACCCTGTCCATACAACAACTATAGCTCTCTTATACAATACACAAGCTATATACATATCTCTCCATACATTACTATAGTGTACATATGAATGATGAAAAGTAAAGTGTATTATTAAGAGCAGGTATGTGTACTATGCTATATAGAGATGAAAGTCCGTTATATCGAGGGTCCATTATATGGGATACCCCCATTTAACGGATTATATGGAGAGGAGTCCGCTATATCGAGGGTTCATTAGATATAATACCCCCAATAACAGATTATATGGAGAGAGAAATAGATTACATGAAGGTCTCAGTGTAGTTACCTTGAGGGTTCGTAGTGGTGGAGGATGGAGCAGGTGTGAGGAAGGGTGGCGACGCTCTGAGAGACTAAGAGATCTTGGCATTAAGTTAGGTCCCACACTGTCTGCTGGCCCTCTCACAGCTGATCCGTCCAGTCCCAAGGTCACGTCTTTGTAGGATTCACTCAAGGCTCGCTGAAGGGGTCATAGATTAGCTTTCTGTGGGATTTGTATTACTTTTTGTGGGATCTGATATTTACTGGTATTGATAGTTTATTACAGTAACACCTACAGTGCAGTAACACCTGGAGTAACACACAAACAGTACAGTAACACCTGGAGTAACACACAAGCGCAGTACTGTAACACCTGGAGTAACACACAAACACACAGTACAGTAACACTTGGAGTAACACTCACCTTCAGGAGGCCGTGAGCAAACCTGGCAATAGCAGCTGTACGTGGACCCAGCTGCCCCTCTTGTTGCTCCTGCAACACCGCCTCCAGCTGCTCATACACCTCCTCCAGGTCTGTCAACACCACCATATGTATAGGTTGAATCTATCTATCTGTCAGATTATAATTATATAACATTAGAAATGACTGTTGAACAACATTGTAGCTATTTTTGTAACACCGCACGAAGTTAAATGTTGTGTGTATGTCTGTCAGTGAGTGAATGAATGGGTGAGTAAGTGAGCCAGCGAGTGAGTGAGTGAGTTTGCGAGTGAGTGAGTGAGTTAGCGAGTGAGTGAGTGAGTTAGCGAGTGAGTGAGTGAGTGAGGCCATTACTTAACCCACCTGATATGTAGTCTGAACTGAAGGAATAATGAGAAGATCTGGATCCATTTTCGTCCTCTCCCTCCGCCTCCTCTTCCTCCTCCTCTTCCTCCTCCTCCTCCTTGCTACCTCCTTCCTCCTCATCCTCTGACAGATCCGTGCCTTCTCGTTCTCTCTCTTCCTCTTCTTTGTTTTCTTCTTCCCTGCCGAGTGGTCGAGTCAGGTCATCGTCAAGCACAAAGCCTCCCGACTCTTGCCTGGATACTCTGAGGATAAAGGAGAGTTTACTGTATAATATGTGGGGTTTAATCCACCCTTGATCTAATGGGTTCCAATCCTATTGAGCTCTAGTCTTAAGAGGTTCCAATCCTAATGGTCTCTAGTCTTAGGGGATTCTAATCCTAATGGGCTCTAGTCTTAGGGGATTCTAATCCTAATGGGCTCTAGTCTTAGGGGATTCTAATCCTAATGGGCTCTAGTCTTAGGGGATTCTAATCCTAATGGGCTCTAGTCTTAGGGGATTCTAATCCTAATGGTCTCTAGTCTTAGGGGATTCTAATCCTAATGGGCTCTAGTCTTACGGGCAAGATTATTGGGATGATTGTCAAGTAGGAAAAGGGATTATGGGATTTTCGTAGATTATGAAGGGATTTATTTTATCCTTTTTTGATGATGTGTTCAGTCATCAGTGTGGGGGCGTGGGGGCCCTCACCTTGGCAGTCGTGGGGGAGTAGGGGCCCTCACCTTGGCAGTCGTGGGGGCCCTCACCAGCGTGGGGAGTGGGGTTCACCTTGGCAGTCGGGGAGTGGGGACCTCACCTTGGCAGTCACCGTGGGGGAGTGGGGGCCCTCATCTTGGCAGTCGGGGACGGGGGCCTTACCTTGGCGTCTGGGGGTCTTGGGGGGCTCTTACCTCCTGCCGTGGGGGAGTGGGGGCTCACCGGCTGTGGGGAGGGGGGGCTCTACCTCGGCAGTCGGGAAGTGGGGGCCTACCTCGGCAGTCGTGGAGTGGGGGCGCTCACCTTGGCAGTCGTGGGGGGGGGGCCCTCACCTTGGCAGTCGTGGGAGTGGGGGCCCTCACCTTGGCAGACCCTCACCTTGGCTCGTAGTGAGGCTTGGCAGTCGTGAGTGGGGGGGGCAGTCGTGGGGAAGTGGGGGCCCTCACCTTGGAGGGGACCCTCACCTTGGCAGCGTGGGGGTGGGGCCTCACCTTGACAGTCGTGGGGGTGGGGAACTCACCTTGGCAGAGTGGGGCCCTCACCTTGACAGTCGTGGGGGCGTGGGGACCTCACCTTGGCAGCGAGTGGGGCCCCTCCTTGGGAAGTGGGGGCCCTCACCTCTTGGGGGCCTCACCTTGGGGAGTGGGGCCTTGGCAGTCGGGGGGGGGCCCTCACCTTGACAGTGACTCACCCTGGACGTGGGGCGGGGAGTGGGGCCTCACCTTGGCACACCTTGGCAGTCGTGGGGAGTGGGGGCCTCACTCGGCAGTCGGAAGGGGGGCCCTCACTGGCAGTGGTGGGGCCCTGGCAGTGGGGCCCTCACTTGGCAGTCGGGGGAAGTGGGGGCCCTCACCTTGGTAGCTTGGTGAGTGGGGCCCTCACCTTGGCAGTCGGGGAGTGGGGCCCCCACCTGGCAGTCGTGGGGGTGGGGGGCCCTCACCTTGGCAGTCGTGGGGAGTGGGGGCTCACCTCGGCAGTCGGGGAGTGGGGCCCTTACCTTGGCAGTCGTGGGGAGTGGGACCTCACCTCTGGCAGTCGGGGAGTGGGGGGCGTGGGGAATTGGTGTGGGGAGTGGGGGCCCACCTTGGCAGTCGGGAGGGGGGCCCTCACCCAGTCGGGGGAGGGCCTACCTGGCAGTCGTGGGAGGACCTCACCTTGGCAGTCGTGGGGGGGGGGCCCTCACCTCGGCAGTGGGGAGTGGGGGCCCCACTCCTGGCAGTCGTGGGGAGTGGGGACCCTCACCCTTCACGGCAGTCGTGGGGAGTGGGGGCCCTCACCTTGGCAGTCGGGGGTGGGGGCCCTTACAGTCGGGGGAGTGGGGCCACACCTTGGCAGTCGGGGAGTGGGGTGGCCCTCCCTCGGGAGTGGATGGGGGTGGGGGAGTGGGGGCCCTCACCTTGGCAGTCGTGAGTGGGGCCGGGCGGCTCCCCCTACCTTGGCCGTGGGGGAGTGGGGACCTTAGCCGGGGAGTGGGGGGCCTACGTTTGGGGGAGTGGGGGCTCTTACCTCGGCAGTCGTGGGTGGGTTTGGTTGGCGTCGTCGGAGTCATTCTGGGTGTGGGTAAGGATCGGCAGCTCAGAGTCCACACTAGGTTTCCTCGCCAACGCCTCCTTCAGCCTGTCTGCGAAGGAGGACTTTCGCCTCGTCTTCTTGCCTCGTTTCCTTGAGGATCTCCTGGGTCTGGGTACTGGAAGGAGGACGACTGTTGTTACTTTGAGGAGGAGGAGCATTGGTGTGTGTGTGTGTGTGTCAGAGTATATGTGTTTGTGTATATTAAGAGTGAGAGAAAAAGAGAACTATGATCACAAAATTTTATATAGTATTTAATAAAATACAAACAACAAATCAATAATTACTCAAATTTTACCAAAAACCACACACACACACACACACACACACACACACACACACACACACACACACACACACACACACACACACACACACACACACACACACACACACACACACACACACACAACTCACCATCCTGGCCATCGAGACTCTCACAGGCGCTGTAGTAGGGGTCCTCCTCTTGGTGGGAGACATCCTGGGGAGCAGAGTCACAGGAGTAGTAGAGGGACAGCTTCCTTCCATCCGGGGCTTCACCTATCCTCTGTTTATTGTGAGTAACCTGTTGTTGTGGTGGTGGTGGTTCAGCAGCATCCGTGTTTGGTCGAGGTCTGACTTCTGGTAGTGGAGGTTTACCCTGTAGCCACAAGGAAGAGATAAACAAATCTCTATGTCTATGATTTTTCCATCTGTGTGTTTTGATAATCGTTTTATACCATTAAACTCGTAGACTCTATGGCACAACATCTTTACACCACTTACCTTAGGTCTGGCTATGGTTCTGGGTTGTGAGTGTTGTGGTGGTTGTTGTTCCTCCTGCAGCGACGCCTTCTGTACCAACTCGGGACGTTCCTGTTCTAGCTTCTGTATAGCTCGCATCACTCTATTCAACAACCTGGTAGTCTCTTCGTCGTCGTCCTCGCCGTCGTCATCATCATCATCATCATCGTCATCTACCTTGTCTTTAGAGTGATCTATTTTGTCCAAGACGTTGAATTTAACTCTGTCTACGCATCCCTTGATTCCTTCTCCCGTTCTGTCTCCCACTTGGGGTCTTTTAGAATGGACTCCCCCATCAGGAGGCTTTTCAGCAACATCAAAGGTCGTACATCGTGCTCCGCTCTTCTTCCTTCGCCTACGACGTTTCATTGTAGATGGCGCCGTAACGTAACTTGATCCGGGCTCCCCCACAGAGACACTTCCTGCATGTGAGTCTTGCTTCTCTGAACGTCTCTCTTTGGGCTTCTCATCTGTCACAACCTTCACTTTTTTCATTTGTTTTTCCAGTGGTTTATCGCCAACAGAGATATTTCCCGTTACCTTCTGTTTCGTGTCATCTTGATCATTTTCTGTTTGTTTATCATCTGTAATAACCTTGGTTTTCTCTGTTCGTTTTTCTGTTGGTTTGGAAACATTTTTACCACGTCGAGTTTTAGGCAGTGTTCCTGTTTTTGATTTAACACCTGTGTCCACCTGTCCGTCACTCCCGACCATCTTCACGCCTTTATTTCCTTCTTTATCTTCACCCTTCTTATCCCTAACTATAACCACTCCTCCTCCTCCTTCTTTATCCACGTCACACTTATCCCCTTCTATAATTTCTACCCTTTTATCTCTCGCCCCTCCTCTCTTCAGCACCTCACTCTCATTAACCCATCTCTCGGTAGAACCTTTGTTGGGAAGCTGTTTATTGTTTGTGTCTTGGCTGGAGGAACCTGGGTCACCTTTCTTGTCTTCTTCCGACGCATCTGAGGAGACTTGTGTGCGAAACCTGTAAAAAAAAATGTGATGGGAGGCAAATCTATGTGATGGGAGGTAGTTCTATGTGATGGGAGGCAGATGTTTGTGATGGGAGGCAATTAAGCTTGATGGCAAGGGACCAGTCTGTGTGATGGGAGTTACAATTCCCTCAAGCTTGACACGGAAGGGGAACCTGTGATGGGAACTGAACTACTGTAATATAATGTGACCTTGACTATCATGGTAGGGAGGAGGAAGATAAAGACCTACCTGATGGGGGGTTTGGGTGAGGAAGTAGATTAGTAGACGAAGACCTACCTGGTGGGGGGAGAGGCACTACCACGGGAATGTTGTCTCGAGACAGACACTATGTCACTGAGGGATTGGTTGGGTGGTGGTGGTGGCAGGTCTTGGGTGAAGGCGAGACGGGCCTTGTTCAGTTCCCTCAAGACGTTAATCTCCTCGTACTGAAGAACCTCTGACTGGCGGTAATCATCTGCGTCCATCAATACGTGAATAAGATCTGGTGGCCCGACGGTCTGTTGATATTATATGAAAACAATTAGTTTCCGCCTTAATTATCCACCTGAATACCTTTCCTTAATTACTTGATCATTTGATCTTTTCAACCTGACCACCTTCCCTACCTGAGTACCTAAACACGCACTCAAATAGTCACACACACAGACAAACATCCACACACACACACACAGACACACACAACTACTCAAACACTTCCCCCCCTTTTTTGTTACATAATACTGTATAGACTATTGATGACAGAACTATAGTTACCATACTGATTCTCTGTAGGGTAAACAATGGCATCACGAACACTCACTTTCCTGGGGATGAAGGAAGGTCGAGTCTTGAGGTTGGAGACGGTAGAGGTTCTAAGAGCACCACACACTTGTAATGCCTCGTTGTCCTCAAGCTTCTCCACAAATACTGCCGCAACAAGTAACTCCGGTTGACTCAGCATAGCGCATACTTGCTGATAGGATTGATAGATAGATATATTGGCAGGTAGGTATTCAGTAAAATCGTCATACACGTGTACAATTGGTTTAGCATGTGGGTATTGCAGGTATACAGTTCAGCAGGTATACAGTTCAGCATGTATACCCCTGTAGACAACACAGGTATACAGTTCATTTAAACTAGTTAAATTTAGAACCTAACATAACCTGACTAATAAGTTGCTCCACGTGTGTTGCTGTTACCCATAAGAGTGTTACTGTTACCTGTGAGTTGCTCCACGAGTGTTGCTGTTACCTATACTTTGCTCCAGGTGTGTTACTGTTACCTGTGAGTTTCTCCACGTGTGTTACTGTTACATATAAGTTACTCCACGTGTGTTACTGTTACCTGTGAGTTGCTCTTGGTCAGGGCAGGTCGAGCCAAGTTGGGAGAGGTGAAACAAGTGAGTAAGGCAGGTGGGGGGGCTTCCTCCAGGCGACCCTCGTGCTGTATATTAACAGGACATAGAACCTCCTCACACTTCATCCAATCCTTGAGGCTCAGGAAGTCCTTATTCACCATCACCTATAAATGAATAAGACTCATTAGATGATAGATAATGAATAAGACTCACCATCACCTGATAGACAATGAATAGGACTCACCATCACCTGATAGATAATGAATAAGACTCACCATCACCTGATAGATAATGAATAAGAGACTCATAGATGACTAATGAATGGGGAAGGTGAAGGTTAATTAATGTTAGGTAGATTAAACAGATGAATAAATAAAATGAATGGTTTAAAATACTGCGAAATAAATTAATAAAATGTAATGAGATGCACAAATAAAATGAATAATTAAAAGAAAGGTAAATAGAAGTGAGATGAAACACAAATGAATACAATAGAATTAAGAATAAATTTATTTATCTCTGTATGCAATAGAGAGAAAGTGAGAGACAGAGAAAGAGAGAGAGAAAGACAGAGAGTGTGAGTTAGAGGGAGAAAGACAGAGAGAGTGAGTTAGAGGGAGAAACAGAGAGTGAGAGTGAGAGTTAGAGGGAGAAAGAATTAGGGGGAGAGAGAGAGAGAGAGAGAGAGAGAGCGCAATAAGTGCCATACATTACCTTTCTGGAGAAGGTTAAGCGGCCGGGGTAGGCATGATGGCTGACGCTCTTGAAGTACTGCAACAGAGCCTTTACCTTCACTCTCTGACTCTCTCTGCAACACAAGATCAACATTGACTTTCTGCAACACAAGATCAACATTGACTCTGCAACACAAGTTCAACATCCTCTGCAACACAAGATTAACATTGACTCTGCAACACAAGTTCAACATCCTCTGCAACACAAGATCAACATTGACTCTGCAACACAAGTTCAACATCCTCTGACTTTCTGCAACACAAGATCAACATCCTCTGACTCTCTATAACACGATAAATAACATGAGTTGGTTATGAAGTATAATAAAACTCAAGTATTGCCTCTATAATAGGTCAGAGATTAATAAGTTTTATAATGATTCAGTATGATAATTAATAGTCACCTTTAGATGCTTACCTGTGGAGAGAGGAGAGGGTAGGGGCGAGGCAGGGGTCAGTTAGAGTCGGATGAGAGACGAGGGTTCGGCGCGGTAGTGTACAGAAGAGCATATGGGCCAGTAGAGACGTCACCAGTTCACGGTCTAACGTTACATCTTCCCCTGTGACAAGAATTATTGTTTATTGTGGTGGTTCTTATTGGGTGAAGTGTGATGTGTTTTATATCTCTCTCTCTCTCTCTCTCTCTCTCTCTCTCTCTCTCTCTCTCTCTCATCCTTCCTTCCATTCTTTCCCTCCTTTTATTTCTCCGTCTATCATCCTCCCTTCCATTCTCTCCTTCCTCTGTTCCTCCCTCTCTCTGTTCCTTCATTTTTCCCTCCCTCTGTTCCTACCTCTCAATCTTCCTCCATTCTTTTCCTCCCTCTATTCCTCCCTCTCTCCACTCTTGCCTTCTATTCCTCCCTCTCAACTATCCCTCCCTCCCAACCCCACACTCACCTTGCTGCTGAAGGGAATACGTAAGCCCTTTGGGAGGTTTAAGGTCTTTGAGCTTCAGGGCAGCACCAACCATGAACGGGAGGGTAGTAGTGAAGAAGTCCTGGTCTGCTTCCTCCTTCAGGTAGTGGCTCACCCCGGCGAAGATGTCCTCTGGTACCCTCTCGTTTAGGTCAGGCTCGATGCTCACACTACCGAAGAAGGAGGAGGAGGAGGGCGGGAAAAAAAGGATAAAGTAGGAGATAGACGGGAGGAGGATGGAAGGAAGACAGGAGAGGAGGGATACAGGAGGAGAAAGACGGGAAGAAGGAAACAAGAGAGGAGGGATAGAGTAGGAGAAAGACGGGAGGGAGAGGAGGAAGAGGAATACAGGAAGAAGATGAAAACGGAAGGAGGAAGAGGAATACAGGAAGAAGATGAAAACGGAAGGAGGAAGAGGAATACAGGAAGAAGAGGAAAACGGAAGGAGGAAGAGGAATACAGGAAGAAGAGGAAAACGGAAGGAGGAAGAGGAAAACGGAAGGAGGAAGAGGAATACAGGAAGAAGATGAAAACGGAAGGAGGAAGAGGAATACAGGAAGAAGAGGAAAACGGAAGGAGGAAGAGGAATACAGGAAGAAGAGGAAAACGGAAGGAGGAAGAGGAATACAGGAAGAAGAGGAAAACGGAAGGAGGAAGAGGAATACAGGAAGAAGAGGAAAACGGAAGGAGGAAGAGGAATACAGGAAGAGGAAAACGGAAGAAGGAAGAGGAATACAGGAAGAGGAAAACGGAAGAAGGAAGACAGGAGGAGAGAGAAATTTTAGAACATTTAAGACTCAAGAAATTTAGAATTGGAAAATAAGTGAGATCACCTGAAGCTTATTTTACCTGCTAATTAGCCATCCTAACGTTACCTGGGGTAGTTAGGTCAGGATAGGTTAGATTAGGTTAGGATAGGTTAGTGTGATTAAATTAGATTAGGTTGGGTTAAAGTGAGATTAAATTAGGTTTGGTTAGGTAAGGTTATATTACCTTGAGATTATATAAGATTATGGTAGGTTAGGTTAGGTTAGCGTTAGGATATTTAATCACCAGGTGAAAATAAAATGGGGTGTTTAATCATCAGGTGATTTAATAATACAATAATAAAGACAAACATACGCGTCTTGAAGGCAATATAGAACGTGGGTCAAATGACTGTGTAGAGTTCTTGTAGAAGCTGTCAGCTTACTTGTAGAATGAGTGTAGCGAGTATAGATCTAGTAGAATCTGTCAACTTACTTGCAGAGTGAGTGTAGCGAGTAGAGGACTTGAGTGAGGTGGTCTGGAGAAGTGGTTCCCTTGAGTGAGTTCAGGTGGCGCTGGATGGTAGGCCAGGTAGGCAGGTCACACGGGAGCAACACAAACGCCATCCTCGTCTCCGAGCAACTGTGTCCACCACCTGTATGGGGTCATGATGCTGTTGTAACACTTACATGGACACCACTATCATTACTACTACTACTATTGCTACCATTACTACTACTACGACTACCACTACACACTTGCATGAACAGTCATATATACTGTACATTACTCTCTCATTGTGTAGAGAAAGACACCGTCCACAGAGCCAGACCGCCAGGAATGTGTCTTACTCAGAAGGTAAATTTAGGGCATTCCTTTGCCCCTGAAGTAATCCCCTACTTATGGCCCCCTACCCACACCACTACCCCCCCCCCACACACCCCTACCCCAACACACCACTACCCCTACACACCTCTACCCCCTCACACCCTCTATTACCTACTCCACATCTGTACACATAGACACGCACATACTCACATGCTTGCGGGTGAACATACATATATACGTAAATATTTTCGCATGTAAATATTTACACATGTGGATATACAGTATACACATCTGATATACAGGTACACACATATGGATAAACATACCGTACTTTGATATACACAATGTGTGGATATACTCTATACGTGTACGGTCGGACACACACACACACACACTTAACCTAATCTAGCCCAATGTAACTCAACTTAGCCTAACTTAGCTAAAACTGCTTGAACTATTAACCACTTGTATAGGGAATATTTCCTCTTAGGGGGTTAAATTGTTAAGCCAATAGCCTGTTGTGAACGAAATAAAATTAAATACAACCGTAAAATATGGAGGTAAACAGTTAACAATTCGTATTTATGGTTAGTTACTTTTTACTTTACTTTTTGTCCTCTTCACCACTGATCGGCTCGTTAGCCGCTTGGGCGGTCGGTCACGTTTCTGTTACACACTGTTGGCAAGTACTGGGCATGCACAGCACCGGCTCCTGAATGTATCTGAACCTGCTCCACTGTTGGTCAAGTGTGGTCTCGAAAGGTCTCACACTCGGTGCCATCACAACACTGGCAGGTTGTTCCAACAGTTCACAACTCTCACTCCGAAGAAAAGTTACCCCTCACAGTTTTTTGGACTAGCTCCTTCTTCAACTTTGAACTGTGACCCCTTGTAAGACAAGCGTCCGCCAGCTCCAGGTAAGGACACTCAACTGAGTAGTGCCCTTTGAGAAGTTTATACACCCCGATTAAGTCCTCCCTTGCCCGTCTGTAGTATAAGCTAGGCAATTGCAGGCGCTCTAATCTCTCTGGGTAACTGAGGTGCCGAAGTATAGGCACCAGTCTGGTGGGCCTCCTTTTGACATTTTCAATCAACTGACAGTCCCTGGCATATCTCGGGGACCAGACGGGGAAGCACCTCACTCCTGATGTTTGTTACGCGGGACCGTCTAGATATCTGAACGACCTTCTTATATGACTTAATAATTTATGCTTGATTCACCTTCTCACAATGGCCCGAAAACTTCAGTTCATTGTCGACATACACACTCAGGTCCTTTTCACATTCAGTATCAATTGATGCAGTTTCTTCGTCCCGTTGGGACATATGATACGCCTCCTTACCGTTGGTACGTCCCAGGTGTAGCCTCTTACACTTCGTGACATTGAATCTTAGCAGCCATTTCTTGGACCATTCTTGAAGCTCACAGAGATCCTTCTGCAGCTCTTCACAGTCTGCCTGAGTACAATACTGCATTAAAGAAAAAGTATTGGAATTTTCTGATGAGAAGAGGGAGGGGGGGGGGTCCGGACCCCCCCAGGATCCCGCTGGATCCTCCCTTGAATAGTTGTACATCGCCACTATACAGGCAGAAGGCGAGCGACCCATAGAACGCCAGGCGATGCTTGGTGCTCGTGTTGGTGATATTTAGAGCTCGAGATCATATATGATTGTAATGTTTCTTTCAGTTCATATATATTAATAATTATGTCGGTTCATATAGTCTCCTAATCTGTCGGTTAATTTATTATAATGCATATGTCGGCTCATATCGCTATAAATACGTCGGTTCATATATGATAATTATATCCTTCTAATAATACCTAAAAAAAATAATACTGATACAACTTGATATCATCACTTCACTTATAATGACAACTGTTATTATTATATATTCGCTTATAATTATACACGCTGTGCTTTTGAGAATATATAATGCTCACTGACTGCACTTCATATAATGCTTATTCATTGCTTTCATTTCCATATACGACTCAACATTGTTCACTGACACATATATATTTAATTAGTTCCTTTAACACTGATAATTGCAATCTTTCATTATGCTCACCTGAATATTGATAATGCGTTTTGGAGTATTGGTTAATGTTTTTTCCTGTACTTCATTATGCTTCTCATAGGACTCGACTTCAGATGCGGTTCAACACACACACACACAGTTGGCACTTGGTATTAGTGTTCAAAAGTAGTCGGTGGTATTGAGGTGTTGGTTGTACATTCCCAGCTTGGTAGGGACTAAGGAGGTTGGCCAGGATGAAGTTAAATGCCTCATGGCCCCCAGATAGGCTTGTTGGCACTTGTTTACGTGTACCAGCTCACAAAATTCCCACTGATACAACCTTGCTTCTCTTGCAACACTCAACGCACACTCACCGCGACGAGGGGGTTACATCACCACCACGACTTCACCTGAGGTAGGGCCCACCTCCTCCTCCTCCTCCCCTCCACCTTCCTCACAGCCTGGGTTGGTGAGGTTGCAGGGCAGCTCCTCACACGACACACACACATACACACGGCACCCCAGAACCACACACACACACACACACACTGAGCCACATGGCATCTGTTGGGGGAGGAGACTGAATTTGGCACTCACCAAAATGTTACCCAGTGCTAGGATTTCTCGGTTGTACATTGTTGGCTCGTCAAAGAAGATATTATTATCAGACTTTTAAGGCTATGTAGGATAGTTTAAACACCTCGACAGGCTTTTAACAACCCTCGTTTAAGACTTTATCAAGCTCTTTGACATTTGAGGAATGTTGAGCAGAAAATAACTGGATCTGTAATAAATTAAGCTAAAAACACAACACGGGAGCCCTGTACTAAATATACACTGCCATCTTGGGAACGTGTGGCTCTGAGAGAAAACTGGCTGCTGTTACCACAAACTCGGCCATTCTATACTACAGTACAGTACACGAGAGATTGTACAGTGTAGGTAGATGGATAGATACTACTTAATACTTAGTAATATTATCATATAAGTTAATTGATTCAACATGTACATAGACTGTGCAGGTATTCAAACAAAGGTATTAAGCTTATGATTAAATACCCCAGCTTATTTCAGTGCTGTACCTGACTATAACCTAACATAACATAATTTAAGAACTTAAGATAACCTTACTTAACATAATTTAACTCCACAGGTAAGTTTAAGGTGTTTAATCAAGTGATATACAATAAGCTGGGTGTCTAATCTTCAGGTGATATCTAATCCTGCTGTACCATTATATGTATATTGTACTGTATCTTTACTGCCTATGTACACTATGAGCCTATGTGAACTTGTATAATGATATAACTGATTAAATAGCCATATATCTGTATATCTATCTATCTTAAAATTAAATCAAAACAAAAAATATATAGTTTAAATTTACCGCCATTACTGCTTTGTTATGAATGATAGAGGTGAAAGATCTTAAATATAGACAACTAGATCATATCCTAAAATATATTAACTCTCACCGTCCCAGTAACCGATCAATATAAAAATAACAACTACAAAATTATTATAATAATTTAGAATAGGTTGATGATCTTATAAATATATAGAAAATAGATGAAATAAGGGAGTTATGCACATCTTTTGTGACAGACGCTTCTGCTGGGTGTTTGAAGGTGCCTGGACGCCGCTGTCAGGTAAATGATCTCTTAACTCTGAACCAATATTTAATTTAAAGAATGATCCGAGTTAACTGAAGTCTTATAACGTTGTGAATAACATGTTAGGTTGTTAGGTGTTGTGGTATTGTTGTAGGTGGGGTATTGAGGGAGTGAGGGCGTTTAACCTTGTCTTTGACCCCTTTCAAGGTAAAAATGCCTCCCCTTGACCCCTCCACCCCCTTACCGCATTTATCCTCGTCTGTCTTCACTTATTGTCTTTGAGGTTGTGGTTATTTGCATGTTTTGTGAGTTATAGAAGCAGTTATGTTAAGGGTAGGAAATTAACTTACCTGTTTGTGCACTTAATGTCTGCAATGTGAACAAATGTGAACTTGTACTGGTTTATTTTCTGCCTAATTATCCATATCTATCTATCTATAACTATCTAACTCTATCTATCTATCTACATGTATGGTGGTTATACATATACACCCAATAAAAAATTATTCGGCACCCGTGTCATATTGTGTCACGCCGTAAGGGTGCCGAATAATTTTTTATTGGGTGTACAGTACTGAATAAATATCTTTCCGTCTATCTTTATCTATCTGTCTCTCTCTATGTATATAACTCTATGTATCTGTATATCTATGTGAAGAATTATTGTAAGCTCATAAAGTAGTTATATACTTAATTGCTAGAGTGAAACTTCTTTTTAACAAACTACATGAAGATAAAAGTCCATAATATCGAGGGTCCGTTGGATATGAAACCTCCCTCATCCAATGGATTAAATGAAGAGAAAAATCCGTTATGTGGAGGTTTCACTGTACAGTATACTGTATATTGAAAAGTAACATTAGTATATTATGACTTGGAAGATGGTACATTTCGATTAGCCCATGTTACATTCCTGCAAGGATAGTGCTGTCTAGCATTGATACATTGCAACCACTTAAAGTCCCCTTCACTAGTGCATTTACAGGGGGCTCGTCAGGTTTTGTGCAGCCTGGCAGCCTTGTGTTTGTTTACATTCTGCAAAAGGAAACTTGCAATAGTAAACATACTATGGAATCAAAGTAAAAAATACTAAAACAAATATCTAAACGATAATTATTTGTGGATTGTTTATATGACGAGCCTGGTTAATATTAATGATTGACCCGCGGACGAGTTATTCGTTTTGCTGTTTATTTTTTTACTCTATCTTCATCAGTTAGTTCTGATATGACTATCATTTCTTGTGTAAATGCTCAGTTTTGTAAATATTTAGGCGCCTATGGTGTACTACTCGTCTTCCTGCCGGTAATGCGGCCGCGCTCTTTGCCGCACTCGCCTCTCATTCCCGAGCCAGTTTCATTTTCAGCATGGCGTGTGAAAGTTGTCGCCAGTCTTGTGCTACAGTTGTAGTGCTTATAATGGTTTTTGTCAGTTCGTTGAAGTAATAAAGGCTATGGCCTCTTTGCCATTTCCTGGGTAAAATAAATGCTGTTACTTTTATTGCTCTGACACTGGACATGTTAACTATATGGCCAGATTAAATAAGATTAGGTTTGGTTAGTAATATATAGTGGTTAATCTTAGGTGAGATAAACTGGGGGCCTAATCTTCACATGATCCAAACATTTAAACATTACGGTAGCTGAATGCTGGTGTATGTACACAGTGTACAGTCCAGGACAAAGGTTCTCTCCCCCCTTGATGAAACTGAGTCGTGGGACTGAGTCTCTTAACTTACTTACCCTGGCTGTGGTTGTGCTGGTTCATCTCATTTGGGGTCGACACTGCTTCATTTTGGGAGGGAGCGAACTTTTGATCCCAACTGTTCAAACTCTTGCGTATATTAAAGTTCATTTTAGGTCTTGAGATTTTAAAAGTGAGCTTGTAAAGAATTTAGAGGTCGTGATAGATAGATAAATATTTACTCATTTAAATTGTCGTACAAGTTTACATTAATTCAGCATTAATAGGATACAGATCAGCATGTTTACTGTATAGACAATGCAGATGAATGAACACAAGTATAGTCAACAGTATTTCCAGTACTTTGTGATCAGCTATGATTTAAGGAACCATAGCTGTAAGAATGATAATGAATGGAATGGATTTTTTTTTTTTTTTTTTTTTGCAATTACAGGTTGTACCTCTCTAGTCCGGCAACCTCGGGACCTGACTGGTGCCGGACCATGGAAATTGCTGGACCATGGAAATTCACCCTTTTCCTGGATAGATAGTGACTTGTGCTTATGCTTGGAAGCACTAGCACCACTTTCTCTGCATCATGGTCTCTTTGAAGACATATTGAAGGGTTAAATGTCGTATAGTAGCTTCTCAAATTTCGCGAGTTTTTAATTCTTAATGTATTTTATTGGAACACACAAAAAAAATAAATAAAAATTTTGACGGCAGAAACTTGAATTTCGACGGGTTTGAACGGCCCGCCAACGTGCAGACGACGTGCATAATCGTGTAAACAGTGTCATTTCTCTTATGTACAAAAGATTCATTATTGTTTATTACTGAATGTCTTTTTTATTGAATTAATGTTTATGTGTGCAAAATGAGCAATACAAATCATTAATAATACGTAGAATATTAAAACACATGAGGAAATGAGACAGCATTGTTTTCGTTGATTACAAAACCAGTGACTGACTGGTTCTACATATAAAAATGAAGAAAATAAGACCTTGGTTGTAGCTGTAGTAAAACTAATATGGTTGTTTTAAGTAATGTTATTTAATGTTAATAAATGGAACAATAGAAGTAGCTAACGATAATGGTAAAGAAAAAAAGAGAGCTCGCATATGTAAGTGCGCATGCGCACACGTGAAAACATATCGTCATTACTTTACATAAGAATATGAAAGCAACACTTATTTACTGTTCATATATATTTTAATTAATGTTTCTGAATTTGTTTTATTGAATTAATGTTTGTGTGTGCAAAATTAACAATACAATTTATTAATAATACGTGGAATATTAGAGGAGACGAGACGGCTGCCGGCATTGTTTATGTTAAAGCTTACAAAACCAGTGACTGATTGGTTCTACATATAAAACTGAAGAAAATAAGACCCTGATTTAGCTGTAGTAAAATGAATGTAAAAAAATTAATATGGTTGTTTGAAGTACCTGTAATGTTATTTAATGTTAATAAATGGAACAATATAAGTAGCTAACCATTAATGGTAAAAAAAAAGTGAGACTGCGCGTATGTAAGTGCGCACATGTGAAAACATATCGTCATTACTCTGCATAAGAATATGAAAGCAACACTTATTTACTGCTCATATATATTGAAGGGTTAAATGTTGTACTCTGTATAGACAAGCAGAGAGAGAGAGAGAGAGCAGCCGAACTGCCGGATGTAAACAAACCTTAATTTCCCGCGGCTTTTTTTTTTTTAAGGGGATTAGCCCACCCGGGCATAGGTCACTGACCCACATTGGGCCTGAGGGGCAAAAATTTAATACTCCTGTAATAATAATAATAATTCAGATAAGTAAAAAAAAGAAAAAAAAGCTGCCTATCTACCTATTGGACAAACTAAAATCGTTCCGGACCACGGGAGTTTCCGGACCACAGAATGCCGGACTAGAGAGGTACAACCTGTAGTTATATATATATATATATATATATATATATATATATATATATATATATATATATATATATATATATATATATATATATATATATATATATATATATATATATATATATATATATATATATATATATATATACAGTAGAAGTCCAAAAATCCGGACTGCTTGGGGATTGGGTCGGTCCGGATTTTCGGATTTTCCGGATTCTCAGGCAGTACTTTTAAAATTCAAATTTAAGGAGGAATAAAGAAGAGATGAACAGGTACATTTTGATAGTTTATTCATTAGCAAATATAGCATGCTTCATTTATCAAAACGAGCAGTTTTAAAGAAAAAGCTGTGAATTCTAGAATTTTATTCTTTGCCTTTTTTATATCATAACTTGTAGACTTTCCAATGTCGAATGTTTCCATTAGAACAGTATTGCTCACACCACGTTCTAGTTTCTTAATTATTTCAAGTTTGTCACTCAATTTCAACGTGTTCTTCTTTCTCTTCACACAACAAAGTTTATCTACTTTAGGAGCCATTATTATGGGCTTGTACAGTACTCTGTAAATGGAAAGAGTAGGACTCAAAATTACATACGTTGTCACAGTTTGATTGCTCTTTTTAAAGTGGCGACCGCGTGGTCGCTTGTTTTCGCTGTGCAGATGTGGCGCTCACGCATGCGCACATACACTCAAAAGCCCGCTAAAAAAAAAAAGTCCGGATTCTCGGGTGGTCTGGATTTCTGGCATCCGGATTTTTGGACTTTTACTGTATTGTACAATATATTGATGAGTTCATAGGATGCCTAAAGTAGTGTACTGTACAGTCTGGCTTGTAGAAATCAGTTTCCATACTTATACAGTGGTCCCTCGGTTAACGAACGCCTCGGTTAACGAAATTTCAATTAACAAATTACCTTCCATAAGAATCTTCATTTTGGTTAACGAACAAAAATTTGGTTAACGAAATTCTTACGAAAATATTTCGACATGCTTTGGCTTACTCACCAGCTGGAAGAATAGTCCGCCAATACAGAAATCGGTTCTAGGGCTTACATTCGTTAAAATTGGAGTAAATATCAAGAAGGTTGTACTATTCAATAATTTTCCAAGTTTTATATTAAAATTTTTAGTCATTTTAACACTTATTTAACAAAATTGCAGTACAGTCAGTTCTGCTATAACGCGATAGTTGTGTTCTTGTAAAATATCGTGTTATAGAAAATTGCGTAATAGAAATAACAGGGCTTATGGAGAAAATAGGGTTAGGTGCAGATTACTACATTGCTCGAAATCGAAAAAATATTAGTAGTTAGCCTAACACAAAGGATAGCACAGTCTTAATAAATGTTACATTCATATCTAATAATGAAATTATACAGTAAATGTAACACTTTACCTTGAAAAAATATGAATAAAACTTGATGGGGGAGAAGGTTGATGTTGAGGTTGATAACATCGAGCTTCTCTTCAAGTGTTATATCCTTTCTTTTACGATCATCACCGGGAATGCGATCACCAGAACGCTTCTTGGAGATATTCTTCTTTACCATATTCACAGTTAATACCACAAAATTGGAGAAATAGTAAGCAAAAATCGCGTTACAGCAAACAAGCGTTCGCGTTATACAAATATCGTTCCTCTATTCATAAATCGCGTTAGAGCCAATTCGCGTTATCAAAACACGCGTTATAGCAGAACTCACTGTACAGGGAACTAGTTTTTGGTGCACACAACAGCCACTTCACTCACCCACCAAGGCCTCAGTTTGTATCTCTGTTCAGTGGAGGAAACATCTTGCCTGTGAGTCTCTTGAACACAGAGTATTTTTACATTTTTCCAGTACAATTATTGGTCATTCTGAAATTTATTTAACATATTGACAATATATAGTGCAGTGTTGATTTAAAGAAAATAATCTTGAATTACACCAAGTGAACTTAAAATTTTATGGGTGAAATGACAGCATCAAGCATGGGGTGATTTCTTTTCCACCCCCACTTCCTTCTCTTCTCCCTTCTCCTCCACCCCCACTTCTAATTCCCATCATCATCATCATCATCAACAACCAGGAGCCTTCTACATACACACTTCAAAGTAAGTGTACTTTACTGCATTTTTTTTTTATACTTTGTATGTAATTTTCGGTGAGCTGGAACCAATTACCCAAAATTCCATTGAAACAATGGTTTCGGTTAACAAAATTTGTCTGTTAACGAACTACCTTCTGGAACGAATTGTGTTCGTTAACTGAGGGACCACTGTATTGACACTTTTGTAGCGATGGATACTGTTTCATGCCCACTCAGGAAGTTGAAAATTGGGATCAAGTTAGATTAGGCAAGGTTAAGTTAGGATAAGTTGGTTGAGGTTTGGTTAGGTTGGGTTATGTTAGGTTAGGCTAAGGTAGGTGAGGTTTAATTAGGTTAGCATTAAGGTTCTTAATCATCGGGTGAAGTAAGCCTAGGCTCAGAATCTTCATGAGAATATCAATTAAATCAAGTTAAGCTGCAGCCATTAACTAACTCTGTAAATATACCAATCCTGGTCGACAGAAACTGATGACCAATTCTTTGTCTGTGGTTCTTTTAAGTGTTTGTTGAAAGTGGACGTTTTATTTTATTATCTTTTTAACAGAACAGCTGTGGAAGGATGTCTGGGGGGAGGAGGAAGTCGAGGAAACCACAGAAATGGGAGGATTACGTTGCAGATGAAGAACAGTTGGCAACCATCGAGAAGGAACTGGAAAAGGAAGAGAAGGCTCGAATGAAAAATGCTGAGAACGATGGAGACTTGACGGAGAAATCGCCCGACGATGCTGCCCAGAATGAGGAGGACGAGGAAATGACAGACTATGACGACGACGCTGCCCAACTTGAAATTATCTTGGGAGAAGATGAGGAAGAAGAGAAATTGCATGATTTTAAGACAGAATTGGATAAGGAAGGCACCCAGGAAGAGGAGGAGGAAGGTGGTGAGTGTTAACGTTGAGCCAAAACAAATAATTTATTGTATAGGTTATTGCAGAGTCAGATATTAATGCAGTAGTGTTGTTGATTAATATCCAGAAAATTTTTAGACGATTCTGATGGAAACTTTTGGAGCTTTTTCATTCATGTAAATTTTTGGATCATCTCTTAGGTTTTTTTTTCCAGTGATATTTTAGATTATTTTTTTACGGTACAGTAATTATATTTTAAGATTTATTTTTTATTCACAATGTAGAACTTTTTAACTATTTTAGAATTTTTGTTTACAGTGAATCATATTTTATAACTTTCTTTAATTGTATTTTAGATCACGTTTACAGTAAATCATATTTTTTTTTTTTTTTTAAATAATCATAATTTAGAATTTTTTTAATTGTATTTTAGAAGAAAAGTATAAAGAGGAGAAGCCACAACTTATTAATATACCCGGGACTGGTCAAGTCATCGGGGACTGTACCACCTGTAGTATCCAGTTGCGTGATTGGAACTCCGTGCACAGCCACCTGAGGTTTCACCGCCTCTCTCACGTTCCAGAGTGTAGTTACAAGCTGGTGTCGGCCTTGAGCAAGAGGTAATGATGGCCAGGTGTACAGTATTGTACCCTTTAGTCTACTGTTGTACTGTACTTTGTTATGTGTTTTGTGAACTTACACTGTACACACCCTTACCTCCCCTCCTCTTTTTTACACACACACACGCACGCACACTACTGTACTGCACATTAAAATATCCTAGATCTTCATTACATTTGCCCACATCCTGATATTTCTATTGTCAGTTAGAAAAGAAGAATTCTTATAATACACAGATCATGTGAAGATTAGGCCCTCGCGTACAACTTACTTCACCTGATGATTAAACACCTTAATGTTAGCTTTGGGGGGCTATTTTAAGTTGGGTTAGGTTAGGTTTGGTTTGCTTAGGTTAGATTAGGTATTATTATGTTAGTTTAGGTTTGGTTATGTAAGATTAGGTTTGGTTATGTAAGGTTAGTGTTAGTTTAAGTTAAATTAGGTTAGGTTAGTGTTGCTGTAGTTTATTATCTGATGAAATAAGTTGGGGTGCCTAATCTTCATGTGGTCCAGATAATATATGAAACAGATTAAATACAAGTACAGTACCGTAACACCTCCATATAGCAGACTTTTATCTCCATATACAGTAATCCATTAGATGGAGGTTTTGCTTCTAATGGACCCTTGATATAACAGATTTTTATATCTAAATAGTTTGTTAGATGGAGGTTTCGCATATAATAGACTCTTAATACAACGAACTTTTCTCTCCATATACAGTGGTCCCTTGGTTAACGAGCACAATCCGTTCCAGCAGGTTGCTCGTTAACCGAAACCATTGTTTCAATGGTTTTTTTGGGTAATTGGTTCCAGCTCACCGAAAATTGCCTGAATTCAACAAAAAAGGTAGAAAAGTACACTTACTTTGAGGTGTGTATGTAGAAGGCTCCTGGATGATGATGATGATGATGATGGGAATTAGAATGGGGGTGGAGGAGAAGGGAGAAGAGAAGGCATTGGGGTAGAAGAGAAGTCACCCCATGGCACCATTTCACCCATAAAATTTTAGTTCTCTTGGTGTAATTCAAGATTATTTTCTTTAAATCAACACTGCACTGCATTATATATTGTCAATATGTAAAATAAATTTCAAAATGAACAATAATTTGCTTGGAAACAGAAAAAAAGCGTTTAGTTGAAGAGAGTCTCAAGCAAGATGTTACCTCCACTGAAAACAGAGAGAGACTAACGCCTGTCTGGTGTGTTAACGGGCTGGATGGCACGCCAGAAACTAGTTTCTTTACCTTCAATTATGTTCAATAATTGTTAAAATGACTAAAAAAAGTTAATATTAAACTTTTAAAATTATTGAATAGTATAAACTTCTTGATATTTACTAAAATAGTAAAGAATTTAAGCCCTAAAACCGATTACTGCATTGGAGGACTAATACCACAGCTGGTGGACCGCCAAATGCAAGCGAAAACATGTTGAAGTCCGCTCGTAAAAAACTCGTTAATCGAGGGATTGCTCGTTAACCGAAGTTAAGATTCTTATGGAAGGAAAATCGTTAACCTAAATCTCGTTAACCGAGGCGCTCGTTAACCGAGGGATCACTGTACAGTATTCCGTTAAATAGAGGTTTCACTGTAATTAAAACACACATCATGTGGAAGTTGTTTTTGTTAGAGTAAGGTAACATTTATTAGGAATTAATTAATTGTAATTATTAGTTATAGAAAATTAATATTGTATCATAATTTGTTGGTATACACGGTGTCTATAAATTACGGGTACAGGTACCTCGGGTTATGGAATTGCGCCCTTACGGAATTTACAAATTTAGGCCTTAAATTCTGGTTATGAAAAAAAATTTGCCCCTATGGATTTTTTAAAAATTTTCAGTTAAAAATGACGATTTTTAATCAAAGATTTTACAAAAATAGTAAAAAATATTAATTGTGAATGGATCTGTGTTGTTGGAAGGTTGCTCACCTCCCCAGTTGCCAGCATTCACCGTAACAATGACACTGCTCAGTTTAATTCTTTCCCCAGGAATTGCATTGGACATTAAATTTGATGTTTTAAGTACTGTAGGTAACTCCCAGTAACTCTGATCTCATAACCTCACCTCACCACTTGATGCAGTACTCAACATCATTTCTGGATAGTAAAATTTGAGTGTTTTGTTAATTTATTATCATGTTACATCATGAATGACTCACTGTATGTGGTTAAAACTGTCTAATTTCATACATTTATGTGCTTGTGTTACGTTTTTGGGCCTCAAAATTTCCATAGGAACGCATTATGAAATTTCACATTACAGAAATATTTTCCAGAACGTAACCCTTCCGTAACCGGGGGGGGGAGGTGGTGCCTGTATTTGACTAATTATAAAATTATCTACCTCAAAAGTATTATAGATAAAGGACAGAGCACCTGTGGAAATCTACTAAAACTTATGAGCTGTTCATCAATTATGGTAAAACCAGCATTGGTCTATCTAATATTTTTGTAGTTACAGTGTTAGTTTCCAAAATGGTATTGATAATTTATAAACACTTTGTATAATTTAAGAGTTCTTTAATTCTTCTTTTTTTAGGATAAACTGTCAGGTGTGCCATAGATGTTGTCAGAACAGGGAGGTACTGGCCTACCACGCCTACACCGAACACTACATCAGCTGCAAGGACTCCAAGATCTGTCCCTTCTGTAGCACAAACTTCAAAGACATGGACGAATTTCAGGAGCACCTTGACATTGATGTAATCAGCTTCAAGTGTCAGGTCAGCTTTACGTTCCTTTTATTTAACTTTCATCATTCGTAATTCAGGGGTGAATGGGCAGAAGATGAGAGGCAGACAAGGAATGAATGATTAGGTGAAGATGGAGAAGACATGAAGGGTGACAGACATTAATATAATCAGCTTTTAGTATCGGGTGAGTTTGGGCTGGTAGGGTGAAGGGGAAGGAGTTGGGGGGTGGTAGAGTGATAGGGAAGGAGTTGGGGGTGGTAGAGTGATAGGAAGGAGTTAGGAGGGTGATGAGGAAGGAGTTGGGGTGGTAGGATGAGGAAGGAGTTGGGGGTAGGGTGATGAGGAAGGAGTTGGGGGTCTGGTAGGGTGATGAGGAAGGAGTTGGGGTGGTAGGGTGATGAGGAAGGAGTTGGGGGCTGGTAGGGTGAAGGGGTTGGGGGCTGGTAGGGTGAAGGGGAAGGGGTAGAGTGATAGGGAAGGAGTTGGGGGTGGTAGGGTGATGAGGAAGGAGTTGGGGGCTGGTAGGGTGAAGGGGAAGGAGTTGGGGGCTGGTATAATCTTGAAAGCAGTTGTTTCTGTACATGATTAAAGAGCCAAGGGAGGTGGAGTGGTCATAAGGGATGAGGCTGCAGTTGGTGGTACTGGTGGGGTGATGTCGGGTCTAGTGGTGGATGGATCTCATCAAGAATACAAACCCGTGCTTATTTCAGCTCATGATTAAATACCCTAATGCTAACCTATCCTAATGTAATATAACCTAACCTAAACCAAACCAAACCAAACCTAACCAAACCAAACCTAACCAAACCTAACCAAACCTAAGCTTAGCTAACCTCACCTCCCCATTTAACATTAGGACATATAATCATCAGGTAATAAATGAGGGTTCCTATTCTTCATGAGTTCTGTGTGAAACAACAAAGACACACTAGTTGAATATATTTAGGCTTCATAGTGAAAGGGAAAATTGGCAATAAAACATACTATATTTTTTTATTGGTTATTTATTTATTTATTTATTTTTATCATTCTGTATAGTAATTAGTGTAAAGAATATAAGGCAACGAAGGTAAAATTAGCCAGCGTTGTCACTTGATGCAGGACACCTTCCATACATCGTGAGGGAAGTGTCTTGGCATGACTGATAAAGAGATAGACTGTGTTAATTTTGCCTATAGTACACAATACACACTTCTCTCATCTGATATGAGTAGCATAGGGTGACTCACACTTATGTCACTTGTGTGTGTGTGTGTGTGTGTCATGGAAGAAGACTAGAGCAGCAATTTTGTCAAGACAACCACCAAGTCCAAGACCTATATCGCTGCCCTATACTATACCTCTGTCCTGATCTTACTTATAGAGTGTGCAGGTCACCTCAGATACTTACAGAGTGCACTGCTCACCTCAGAATTTGTAGTCAGAACTGTGTGTTAAACTCTCATAATGATCCATCTTTCGTAATGTTATTTTTTTTCAGTTTCTATCCCCATCCTTACAAAGTGTGTTAAACTGTGTGCTATTTTTAGCTAGGTTAGGTCATGATTAATATCCACATCCTAGCAAAACAAATTTCAGTAAACTCTCATGTTAGATTATGTTAATTTTAAGATGTTTTTCTTCATCGCAAGACTTAGGTAAAGTGTCTGTTTCAGGTTTGTGGCGTTTCAATGAACCAAGAGCACAAATTCTATCAACACATCGTGTACTGCACCAAGAAGCATCAGCTCGGCATCACTACTCTGCCATGTTGTGTGAGTACTGTATATATATTTTAACAAGTCAGTAAATTATATCTGCTTAAGTCACTTTACCAAGAACATATGAATAATGTACAGTACATGTATTTGTTATCAGTACAGTGACCCATGTGTGGCCATCCTGTTACCACAAAGCTCTTCTTTTTTTTTTACCCACATTTCCCCATATTCTCTTCCTCATTCCCCCCTTTTTTTTTGTCTTTCTCTTCAGTGATGTAGGCTCTCACCCCCTTCACCCCATTAGTTTCAAATATCTGCATTACCACTCTGGCATACAGTACTGTAGATCTGTCTCATGTGTTCCAATTGCTTGTAGTTCACACCCTCGACCTTCTCAGCAATTCTACACACACACTATACACTTCACTATTTCTCATCCCTTTAATTTTGTTGACCCCAGAAGTACTGTAGACCTCAACTGATTAACTCCTTTCTGTAGCCAGAATTTAACCCATTGTGTATGGGCTCCCCTCTGAGCTGAATAAAACACCTGTCATTAGCCAGATCAAATATTAAAAGTGAGGGGATTAAGAGCTAAGTGCTTCACTCCAGATCCCCGTTAACATTGTCATTTGTCATGATGGGGAGTAGTAAAATATTATAGGATTTTTCTTTCACCATTAAGTTTTCATTCAAATTTCCAGTCACTCTTCTGGAAAAATATGAAGTTGTTCGCAGTCATATTTCCCGCCTCTGCTAACGGTCGTGTAATATTTCAATGTGATTCTGATCTTTTAAAATGTTGTTTTTGCATAATGTAGTATTACTGATAAGTAATTTGTCTTAGTATGCCTTATTGTGAGTAAAAATGAGTACGGTATATATTAAATGCATCTTCTGAAAGCGTGAATTTGCTACCAGAGTTTAACAGTTAATTCATGTATAATACTTCTGATAAACTTGCTTGTGTTTGAAATAATGAATGTATGTATCTTTATATAATTTAGTTAAATATCTTTCTCGTCAGAAACGGTCATCCCAACAATTATGAATAAAATCATTTAGAAATGCATCATTACTCAGGACAAAATCAGACAGGTTTGCAACAGCCAATCAGCTCTAAATTTTAAGGAGGGGGCGGGGCATCTTTTCTCAGCTGGGAAAAAATGCGCTATAGTATTAAATTAATACCTATTTTTAAAATAAAGTTTTTTTAAATAGCATGGTTTGTTAAGTGTGCCATTGTGCCAGGCAGCGTAGTTCAGTACCTCATTGCTTTCCTATTGCATGAAAAGAGAAAAATTAACATCACCTACATCTCAGTCATCGACATCTGGCATCTTGAAAGCTCCCACTTCTCCTCCCCCATCACCTGCTCTGCCATCTGATTCAAGTGACTCCCTCCCACACTGACCCTCCACCTCTCCTCCACCACCGCCAGTTTCCGCAAGCCATCCCACCCATCAATTAACATAAGTGTTAGCACGAATTTATATTTAAAATCTATTTTCTTAGTACAGTATTATTAGGTTTGCTTTTATTATTTTGTTATTATTATTATTATTATTATTATTATTATTATTATTATTATTATTACCATATTATTATTATTATTATTGTATTATCGTTATTTTATTATTGTAAATAAAACGTATTGAAGGAAATATTTAAACAAATTACAGTTTTTAGGGAGCCTTTCTCCCAACCCCTGCCATTTCCTTTCTTTCTTTTGGGATAATTAAGTTTGATTTACACGGCCATTCTCAAGAAGGTAACTACCATGTAAATCGAGAGATGGCTGTATACTGACATCTTTGACAGAGTGAAATACTGTACCAGTAATGACACAAACATAATTACAGGTACTATTTGATTGTCAGTTGCTATATATTACTCTTTTGATTATTGCAGATTTGTGGGATAACGATCAGTATTAATAATCTGTACAACCACCTGATGCAACACAGCACGTTGTTAAGTCTTCCCCGCCACTTGGCCAACAACAACAGAAGGTATGGATGATTTTTCAGGTGTGATATTGCCTCATGTACTGGAGTGATGGGGTTTAGGTAGACCCTTTCCTACAGTTTAACTAGTCCAGACTGTGATGCTAGATATTTCATCCAATCAATCAATCATAGGTCCAGACCTAATCATTAAGATTGCTGGTTATTTAGGTTACCAAGTTTGTTGTTAGGGTGGTGATGTAGCCATGTATCTGTGTTTGTTGGTGGGACGTTTTTAATGGTTTGGCTGTCTGCTGGTCTTGAATTAAATGTGATTGATATCTAGGTTGAGTCAGTACCATTAATACATATAACTGTCACCACTGGCTTGTGAAAACCTAACTGGCTTACAAATATCCAGACCATGAGAGATATATCCACCCTGTGTGTGATGTGTATCACTAGGGTGCAACAGACACCCAGGGTTGACTTATAGACACCACGGTGTACTAGACCAGCCTAGCTAATAGTGTATATATAGGTCACACATCAGGACACATCACCATTAATACCTCTCATAGTACAGTACATCACAAGATAACAAAAATGTAAACAGAGATATCTTGGGGCCGTTGTGAAGAACATCACATGTGAACACTTGAGGTCAGGCAGGTAGAATAACTGTTCATGAGGGAAAGTCTATGTTGCTCTTGATGATATTTCTCAGGCTCACCCTTATTGTTGCTTATTTTTGTAATTTTATTTATTAATTTATTTTATTGATAAGAAAATTTGTGGCCACTGGTGGGCCAAGGTAGGTTTGTTGTCTTACTTCTAAGCATGACATGTTGTCGTGCCCTGAGATTGCTGGCTTGACAGAAAGCATTCATGAGGCAGTGTTTGTACCAGCCACTTGAGCTTAAGGAAATGTTTACCAGCACTGTATCTGCCTGAATACTTGTTACGTTTTCATGGCTTGGTGGTACACTCAAACAGGTTACAGTCTGCCACCTCCTTAGTGCACCTCTGTCTTATCTGTTTTAGGGTTTATGCTCTCCCATGTTATTGTAACTTCTCACACCAATTCATGTGATATATTTGGAGTATTTATTACTGTGGTTGTTGAGTGCCTTATTGTCCTCATAAAACTTGTCATGTTCACTACCTGTTGGACACCTTATACTTACCATCATTGCCCTTTATGGTTTCCTCGCCTGTTTATTGTATTAGTTTGACGAATCAACACCTAATTGACCTCAACTGTAATTAAATTATCCCTTATTAGACTAATATACTATATATATATACAGGTTGACAATCCTTTATCCGAAATCCTTGGGGCCAGAGGCATTTCGGTTTTTGGAATTTTTCGGTTTTCAGAATGGTTAGGGTTTGTTTTTTTTGTTTTTTTTTAATGTGTATTAGCCCACCCAGGCACAGATCACTGACCCACATTGGGGCCTGGGGGTCGAAAATAAATTTTTTTTTAATAATAATAATAATTCATAGGTCTAGATCGTGTTTCTCACTTTTGATCTTTTTTTCATTCTTGTATTTCTTTACTGTATTATTATTCTTTTATTATTACAGTATTATTGTTATAATTATTATTATTAATTTTATTACAGTCGGCCCTTAACATACGCGGGGGTTACGTAACAGAGATACCCGTGGATGCTAAAAATCCGCGTATATGTGCTGCTGCTGCTGCCCCCAAAAAAAAACCCTGGGCCCCCCATGTCCTTATTTACCGTATATACCTGTGTGTAGTTCTAGTTTTTAAGACCAAATTATTTTGCAAAAAATTGGGGGTCGACCTCTGAAAGGGTAATAGTTTCATTAGGTTGAAATATATTTACCAGTAACTACCAGTAAACAATGGAAATGACGTACCAACGCACCACCAGCTGTGAGTGTCGGTACAGTCGCCAGGGCAGATCTCTTGCGTCATCATAGCTAGCCCAAAGTAGCCAAATGCATGGTATGGTATACACAGGACGATGTAAAACAAAGTATTCATTTGTTAAAGTTTATTTATAGATACTGTACATAAATTTTTGTTCATTACATTTGAAACATCTTCAGGGGTGAGTACAGACTAGTCTGTACTCACCCCTGAAGATGTGAATTACACGAAAGCGCTTGGGAACTTCGTGTTTTCTTCTTTCCTTGTGGTTATCAGCATATATATATATATATATATACTGCATATTAAATTGATAGTAATATTAGTTACTCCAATAGATCAATTTTTGTTTGGCCTTATTTAACTCAAATGGTGGATTAATTCTCACCCACACCGTTATTATTATTTATGCAAGAATTTCTGTATTCTTTTTAGGATTCTTTTAGTGTTTTAGTTATTTCAGTTGAGTGTTCTTAAACCTTGCAGACGTGCGGTAAACCCCTCTAAACCAGACCCTCCTCGCCAGCAACAAACACGCTACCGTCCCTTCTTGTGTGAAATATGTGACCACCGCTTTGTAGTGTACAGTGAATTTAAACGTCACTTGTATTCCCACTCTAAGTCTCGCTCGTACGTCTGCACCCACTGTGGCCGGGGTTACTGCCAGAAGAACACCCTCATAGTTCACCTATATTCTTATCACAACTCTTCACCCAATGCTGAGGAAAACACCCCAAAGGAGGACACAGCACAAAGGTAGTGTTTTGGGGGTAAGGGACCCTTTGCATGTCTCACTGAATGTGTAAATTGTGTAGGAAAATGAACCAAACAATAGATTCTTTAGTTTACATTTGTGGTGTACTGTACAGTTCACGAGGATCACAGAAGCTCTTGATAAAGTTGGCACAATCATAAATATTGGTTTTAAGATGATTTGTCACCGAACAACTTGTCACTGGTTCAGTGTAATCCTAACCTAACTTAACTTAACTTAAGTTAACCTAACCTAACCATGGCATCATCGCCTTCAAAATCAACATTATTATCTAAATTTAGTAAATATAACACAGTATTTAATACACCAGTGAGGAAATATCCTCACACCTTAAGTATTACATGATGAAGGCAGAAGTCATGTGGACACAGGATGAGATGATATTTTTTCACCATCTGCAGAATTCAACCCAAAAGAAAAAAAGAGAGAAAAGCAACTTAGCCTCACAGTAATTTCTTCAGTTACAGTCACCCACAAAAATCCTGTAGCCTCTCCTCCTGAACCACGAAGCCCCGAGATTCAGATTCATGAATCCGAAGTATTTATGGACAGAATAATGCATCAGTGCCTACTGCTTCGGGTTCATGGCTCTGATTCTCAGAGTTGGTGGTTCAGGAGAAGAGGGAACTGGGCTTTTCTAGGTGACTGAACAGTTGTGGATAAAATTCCCCGAACATTTGGCAATAACTGGACTCTACTTCTGGGTCAAATATATCATTGGTTGATATATAATAATGCTGTTTTTCAACGTACATTATGTCAGAACCACAAAATGGGATAAAATGCTCTAGTAATACAAAGAAAAAGAGAAAATACATTAAGATTCCAGTCCCCTTCATCTAATGATCCTCAAATTCTTACATGCCAGATACTGCCAAGTGTCCAGTGAATTTTGTCTGGAATGGAAACACTTATGGGCACCTGTTGTAATCCTGTATAAGCATTCACGTCATGTCCATGGAAATATGTAAAGCAGTGTCTATACAGTGGTCCCTCGGTTAACGAGCACAATTCGTTCCAGAAGGTTGCTCGTTAACCGAAAAATTCGTTAACCGAAACCATTGTTTCAATGGGTTTTTGGGTAATTGGTTCTAGCTCACTGAAAATTGCATAAAGTCAACAAAAAGGTAGTAAAGTACACTTACATTGAGGTGTGTATGTAGAAGGCTCCTGGATGATGATGCTGATGTGAATTTGAAGTGGGAGGTGGAGGAGGAGAAGGGAGAAGAAAAGGAAGTGGAGGTGGAGGAGAAGCATTTTACTGCTTCTTGGAAGGTGAGTCACCTTCCATGAAAATGTCAGGAACCTCTGGACTGACAGATTCTCTTGCAGGAACATCCTCTCTCCTTCTTGAAGTGAAAGGCTGAGGGCTAGCATCTGTTTCCCACTGCCTTTTAGTGAAGAAACTGTCAATTTTGGTTTGTGGGGCATCTCTCCTCATCATTAACTGATGTTTGAAGGAGACCTCTGTGTCCTTAACATTACACAAGGCAAGTTCTGCCTTTTCCACATTAGGGTGCTTTGAAGCCAGTTTCCTGAACTTCTCCCAGTAATGAACAACACCTTTGAAATCTGAAGTTGACATATGGTCATCACTTTCCTTTTCCTCCTCACCACTGTCAGCCTCTAACATCTCATCCAGTTGCTGTAAGTCTTCAGGAGTAAGTTCCTGCTCATGGGACATCACAAGCTCTTCTACATCATCCTCCTCCACTTCAAGGCCCAATGACTGACCAATGGACACAATCTCCTGGTCCAACTCTGTTTCTTCCTCAAATCCCTCAAAATCATGGACTACTGATGGCCACAGTGCTTTCCATGAAGAATTGAGGGATCTAGTCAAAACTTCTTGCCATGAGGACACAATCAATTTTACAGCCTCCAGGATGTTAAATTGTGTCTTCCAGAACTGTGCCAGTGTTAGTTCAGGATCAGTGGAAGTTGCCTCATGACAACTCCTGAACATTTTCTTCATGTACAGCTTCTTAAAGTTGCTGATCACATTCTGGTCCATTGGCTGTATGATTGATGTGGTGTTGGGAGGCAAAAACAACACTTTGACAAAGTCAAATTGAGACTCCAAAGTGCTGGCAAGTTGAGGGTCATGACCAGGGGCATTATCCATAAGGAGAAGAGCCTTTAAAGGGAGTTTATTGGTGGTTAGATAGATCTTCAAAGAAGGACAAAACACCTCAACTGCCCATTCATTAAAGAGCTGTCTTGTCACCCATGCCTTACGGTTGGACTTCCAATAAACTCCAAGCCGTCCTCTTACCACTTTTTGTTGCTTGAACACCCTGGGGTTCTCAGAGTGGTAGACAAGCATAGGCTTCAGTCGGAAATCCCCTGAAGCATTGGCACCAAGCAATAGAGTGAGGCTGTCTTTCATGGGTTTATGCAAGGTAAAGAGGCTTCATCTCTGGTGATGAATGTCCTTTTGGGCATCTTTTTCCAGAACAGCCCAGTTTCGTCCACATTGAACACTTGCTGTGGAAGATAATTTTCTTTATCCACCAGTTATTTAAATTCCACAAAAAATTTTGCTGCCCCTTCCTTATCAGCACTGGCAGCCTCACCATACCTAGCAACACTAAAAATTTCACTTCTTTTCTTAAATTTTTCGAACCAGCCCTTGCTGGCCCTAAACTCTTCAAACTCTGTGCCTGAAGAACCAGGTTGATTTGCCTTTAAATGTTCATAAATCTCCCTGGCTCTTTCACAAATAAATTCGGTCAAAACGGAATCACCTTTCATTTGTTTTTCCCTTATCCAAATGAGAAGTAACCTCTCTGTTTCTGCTATTAGGGATCTACCTTTAAACACTCTGCTAGATTTGTCTCTCACTTTCACTTCCTTGAATTTGTCTTTCTGTGAAAAAATTGTCGACACAGTTGATGTCGACATGCCATATTCTTTGCTAAGCACATTTGTTCTGATGCCTTCTTCATGTTTCTTAATAATTTCCTGTTTCACCTGGAATGAAATCGCCTTTCTAGATTTCTTTGGACCCATGCTGGATTCAATAACAATTTCACCACTAAAATTTTAAGGTTAATTGCTATAAATAAAGAATATTTTCTTTAAATCAACACTGCACTGCGCTGTATATCATCAATATGTAAAATAAATTTCAAAATGACCAATAATTTCACTGTAAAAACGGAAAAAATAGTTTATGTTGAAGAGAGTCTGAAGCAAGATGTTACCTCCACTGAAAAGACACAGAGACTGACGCCTGTTTGGTGTTGAGAGGCTGTTTGGCACGCTAAAAACTAGTTTCCCTGTACAGGTACTTCAATTATGTTTATAATTGTTAAAATGACTAAAAATTTTAGTACAGTATAAGACTTTTAAAATTATTGAATAGTACAAATTTCTTGATATTTACTAAAATAGTAAGGAATTTAAGCCCTAGAACCAATTACTGTATTGGCGGACTAATATGACAGCTAGTGAGCAAGCGAAAACATGTTGAGGGGCGCTCGTAAGGAATCCGTTAATCGAGGGATTGCTCGTTAACCGAAGTGAGGAATCTTATGGAAGGTAATTCGTTAACCAAAATTTTGTTAACCGAGGCGCTCGTTAACCGAGGGATCACTGTATATTTTTCTGGGAAACCTTATATTTACAGAAAAGAGGGAAGAATTTATGGGATCTTGTTAAAAATTTTTCCATGTCATTCACTTGTGCTATTTCCTGCTCTCAAATTCAAAATAAAATACTGTACTACACCATACAGTATTCCCAAATTACTTTGTCCATCGACCATCTTCACACTTCTTGGCATTAAATGTACTTAGACAGTGCAAGTATACAAATATTAGACACAGAAAGTGCAGGTATGCAAGCAATATACATAAGGCAGGTATACAAATAATGTATATACTAGACATTGAAGGTATACGAGCAATGTACAGTAGTACAGTATATATAGACAGTGCAGATATACTGTACAAACAATAATATACAGGGTGTTTTGGAAATATATTTCATAATTCTGAGGGTGTATTCCTGAGACAAACATAAGGATAAGTGACTCCATGACCATAGTGCCAACACCCTGTAGTTTCAGAGTTATAACACATGACACTTGAGTTTGGATTATGATAAAATCTATGGAGTATAAATGAAATATCCAGTGTTGTTAGTACAATATATTTACTTGTAAATGTTCGAAGTTCCGGCTTTCTTCCTGAATGTAGGCTTCACCCCGTCACAAAAGTGACTGTCATACATGTCAAAGACTCCAGGGGTGTTGTGAATGCTTGTGGCACACTCTTGCATTCTGTGTCACAATTTCTTGTGAGTCGGGACCTCCGTAATATACATTTGCTTTCTAACGTGACCCCACAAGTAGAAATAAATGGGATTTAAGTCAGGTAATCAAGGTGGCCATGGAACAGGACCACCACTTCCTATCCACCTCCCAGGATACCCAACAGTTGTGAGTTCTGTTGTTGCTCGAGCTAAATGAGCTGGGGCACCATCATGCATGTAACCACAGATGTTGACATATCCTGATGGGCACATTCACAAGCATCAGAAGCATTACTGTAAATAGAGTTTGGTATTTCATATTTTATGATCATAGACTTGTTGCAGTCCTCCCATCCCCAATATTATGGTATAACTCAAAAACTATTGGGTATTGATACTATTGTCATGAAGTCATTTATCTTTATGCATGTCTCAGGAATACTTCCCCGAATTATGACTCAGTAATACTTCCCTGAATTATTACTCAGGAATACTTCCCCGAATTATGTCTCAGGAATACTTCCCCGAATTATGTCTCAGGAATACTTCCCCGAATTATGTCTCAGGAATACTTCCCCGAATTATGTCTCGGAATACTTCCCCGAATTATTACTCAGGAATACTTCCCCGAATTATTACTCAGGAATATTCCCCTGAATTATGACTCAGGAATACTCTCCCTGAATTATGACTCGGGAATACTCTCCCTGAATTATGACTCAGGAATACTCTCCCTGAATTATGACTCGGGAATACTCTCTCTGAATTATGACTCGGGAATACTCTCTCTGAATTATGACTCAGGAATATTCCCCTGAATTATGACTGAGGAATACTCTCCCTGAATTATGACTCGGGAATACTCTCCCTGAATTATGACTCGGGAATACTCTCCCTGAATTATGACTCGGGAATACTCTCCCTGAATTATGACTCCATAATACACCCTGCAAATTATGAAACATTTCTAAAACACCCTGTGTATAGACAGTACAGGTATACCAACAATGGTAAACAAGTACAGTATAGCCCAATCATATCCTTATATTCAGTAGCTACAATGTACTGTACATTAACCCACATAATTCTCACAGCCTCTAATATCACCAAATATCCATTGTAAAGTATTATATAAGTATTATGTATAAATATGGTAAACAAAATAAATAGATTTGTTCATTATTATTTGTAAGTTATGTAGCAATTTATTATTTTATTGAAGGTAGAATATTTTAAGTGTGAATTATAGCCTGCATTCAGAATATATCACATTCGCATCCTTTTGGTTTGTGGTCAGTTAGCTCTTAAACAGAGGCCAAGGATACCCTACTCCACGCCACCCACTTTAGGGGAAAATTTGGGATCCAAGGAACATGAAACGTCTGTTAATGGTGGCCGCCGTCCCTATACCTAACCTCCACTGATGATGGCTGCCACTTAAGGGTTAATTAGGTGAAATCAAACTACACTACTTGTATGGAAATTCTAATGCAATTATTCAGGTAAGAATGTTTTATATACTGTAATGTTCATCCTTGATGGTTAATGACATTTGCAGGTGTTGTGAGTTGTGTGGTCGTTCGGGGTTCCTAAACGATGAGTTATTGATTCGTCACTGCATCCTGCGCTGCTCTCAGAGAAATAATCTACAGGTGTCATTTGCCGTCATTGTTTCCAGTTTAGCAAAGGTATAACATCACTCAGTATATTCCTGTACCTTAAAGTATAAATTATCTTGTCACTCTGGTATACCATAATATACTCTCACTCAACACACCACTCAGTATATTCCTGTACCTTGAAATACATATGTAATTTGACTCATAATTCTACCTATTTACTGAAGGTATTCTTTTGTTTGCAGAACCAGAACTTGGGCTTCAGTGAGACTGTCCGCAGTAGTGCCCTACAGACCTACCTCAAGCTGGGCATAGAAGCCTGGGGATCACCCCTCTGTGTAAGAGTTTGACTTTACCAGATGTCACATTACTGTACACACACACACACACACACACACACACACACACACACACACATACTGTATACGTATACACAAAGCTGAAACCTGTGTTTGTGTGTTTTTTAAGTTACGGTCACTAGAGTTTTCCTTGCAATAAATCTACAATAGCATTTCATTCACAGGCAATAAGAACCGTTGGCCAGTCACCCAGCTTGCGCGGCTAGTTTGAACTCAGTTTGAGAACAGGATGGCTTCAATGCATGTTTCTAACCGCTTTCGTGAGATCTGTGGTCCTGTTAAAAAAGACCAAAATGAAAAAGAAACTATTGTAGCGTCCAGGCGATGTTTGTTTACAAAAGTGACGAAAGTACTCTAGGGTCAAATGAAATTCCCATCATGCTGTATTCTTATTATTATTTTTTATTTACTTTGATATTTTTGCTCGTGCTTTGTTATTGTAATACACATTTTATATTTTTTTTACATTTTAACATTAATACGAAAAAATAACAACGGTTTTAATTTTATTAATACAATAGACTCTATAGCAAATGTCAACCCACCGTACAGTCGATTTTCAGATGCTCCGTATCGTCCCACTTTCATTAACAAATAAGTTGTTGCTGTAGAGACAACCTGAGGAGTTTTTTGAAAAATCAACAGTACGGTGGATTTATTTTGGGTAGAAATTCTACTGCAGGGGTCCACAATCCCTCATACGGCCAACTGAGTGACGTCTAAATTTCGGGCTGTGTGGCTGGAATTTTGGGAGCTTGTACAGTAGCTAAAACAACTACTGTATCTGTGCAGGTGGGGGTCGATATGCTCCAAAGTTTTACGTGTGACTAGTGACAGCCCTCATATACCAAAATTTGTCGTCCATGGTCTCATATTGTTTCCCACAAAGAATGCACAGATAGTTGTTTTAGCTACTGTACATTAGTCAACATTGAAAAGAGAAGCTTTCATCATTCTGTCAATGTTTGGATCATCATACTGCTGTGAGCAGGCATTCAGTGCTTATCTTTGTGAAGAACAAGTACAGTACT